AGGATACTGACCGTGATGCCAAGTATGAAACGGACGTAAGTGAGTATCTCGCGGATAACTACATAAAAACCGAAGAGTATGCTTGAATTTCCGAGTTGCCTTTGGTCAACAAGATTAGGTTCTCTGCTTTGTGATACTTCGATCATCTCGTTGGCGGTGGCTACGCTCGACATAATTAAGTGAATTGTCTTGATTTGGCATCTGGAACTCAGTAGTTGATGGCAGATTAGTAGGTAGCTAAAATGCAGAGCAAACCTTCAATGCATTTGAGCCTTAATCATTTTTGTTCCAGTCTTTCTTCGCTATGATAGGACGTTAATAGCGAGGAAACGTTGCACTCAGGACGATACAGCCCGATTTATCAACCTATTCAACAACTATTTTAAAGAAGCTTTATGCATCAGGAAACTAGGGAGTACCAGGCGCGTTGACTCCGGAATCCATCAGTATTTCCGACGAAGTTTACCGCCCACCTCATACACTTGTACAACCTGGCGACATTGGAACTAGCATACAGCCAACAATTTCGGCACAAGTGAAATACTTAAAAAGAAAAAGAAAATATATGGCAAAGCCATTGACTTAAGCAAAATCCAAATCTTCGTAATCCTCCTCAACCTTCAGCTTTTTCGTTTCACCCTCTTTCTTTACCTCTGGTTCGTCATCGGTCTTCATGGTAGCTTTGCGCTTCCCCGCTGAAGCGCTATGAGTAGCCCTCAAAACCGGGGCACGGGTTTTGGGGGTCTTGGGAGATTTAGTGGGCGTTGTTGGAGCTGATGTCTTGCCATCACCAGCAGCCAAGCTCTGGAGTCTCCCAATTCTGTGTCTAAGAGCTTTCTCGGTACATTCTAGAGGATAAAGCTGTTAGGCCACTGTTCTTCTGCTGAGGAAAACCAGAAGACATAGATGGCTAAGATACCATCAGGAAAAGGAATTGGACGTTAGCCAGCATCGAAACATACCGTTACCCATATGTTTAACAACGGCCTTTAGGTCTATTTTTGGTGAAGTCTTGATAATAGCGAGCAGTAGCTTTTAGGAAATTAGTTAGCTGGATTTCCGAATAGTCCAAAATATTTCCGTTCAGAAGAATAATACAGTGAAGATTAATCGAAAACATACCCGAGCATCGGCCTGCGCGTTCCAAGTCATCGGCATTTTGATAGAGATCCTTGCAATTATAATTATTCGAAAGCTGCGGCGTGGTTTCGAACACACAGTTCAAACAAACAGTCTGGTCTTTGGACTATCGAGAGGCCTTGCAATGTATCAAAAGGGGGAAACAAAGAGAGAACTATCAAGGCTCTGTTGAAAGAGAATGCTGCGTGCTGACTCGCCTGAACGGTCCTGTTGCCAGGTCATCAGATTGTCCAAATGAGGAATAACACTTCGGCGTCCAAAGGAAACACGACCTCGTGGGCCATAGAAAAAAAAAATTACAAGGTACGCCCCCTTGTAATGCTTTCTGGTAGGAAGTTGAACGATGTAATGATGAGCATTGATATTAAGGTCTCCATATTAATATCCATGTAGGTTAGCGAAAAAATAGCAATTTTGCTTTGCCATCAGTTTTCTCCCATACTAAATACACTAAGTGATGTCCTATAAGAGTATGTTAACTGGGAATAATTCGCTTCGGAGATAAAGCATGAAGCCCGAAATTGGTCTATTTGAACCAGTCTCTAATACTGATTAATTTTGTGAATAGGAAAACAGAATAATGGCGGGAGGCTTGTTCAGAAATTGTCCTAGCAGATGAAGAGTGGGATAAAGAAAAATCATAGCCTAATTAGGTGTCATAGGGGTTAGATCATGCCCAGGTGGCTCCCCGAAGACAATGCATATGAACACAGTGGACATTGTTTTGGTGTTGATGAATGAGGGTGCGGGAGCCAAATTGGACACTGCTCACGTCGTCTACTTAGTCAGCAATAAACTGCTAAATTGAATACGAGAGAAGCAGACTCGGTTTAAGAGTGTCAATTCTGCATCTGTCACTAGCTATCAACATCGAGCTCTCAGTTGCAACTGACAGAAGGCTGGCTCGATATAAAAATGTATTAATAGCACATCGTCAAGATCAGAGACACTTTAGAACGCCCAATCGACCGTGAGAGTTGTATCAACCGATTACCACCATGAAGCTGTGATATTCAACGACCCTTCCAAATGAACATACGCAAAGAATCGCCAAGATAGAAACACTGAAGGCATATTAGCACTTAGATTTCCAGAGATCCCAGGAGGAGCACGAAGAAATAATGAGTTGTACTGACCTTCAAGATAAACATTGCGGCTAATGCAACAGAGACTCATTTATGCAGTCTCCTTCCCTTCGTCATTGTCGCCATCATCCTGGGCTTTTTTGGCCTTCTTACGAGGGCGCTTGACGGGAGTTTCGCTAGGGGCCTTTGGCTCTCTCGCCTTACGCTTGCGTGGGGTCGGGGTAGCGGGGACGGGGGAACCGGCTCCGCCATTGCCATTGGGATTGGCAGTGCCATCCGACATGGTTTTCTTCAGCTTAGCAAAGTGCTGGCTGCGAGAGGATTAGTCCAAGCATTCCACGAAAAAGCGACCATGCTGGCACCGTAAACTAAAGGTAAGAGGTATAATATTTTGAGGATAAAAGTCAAGGTTTGCCTTGCTTGTTCAGAACCGAGACGAGCAATGAAAGCACAAAAATATTTAACGGCCCGCATCAAACCGAAATCTTGTAGAATATGGGCTCGAAATGAGAAAGAAGATATTAAAAGTTTATACATACCGGCATGCTTCAGCAGTAAAACCACCGCCCATGGCGGCAGCAACAGACTCCCAGCTGACCTTGGGATTGCATTGCTCGACCATATGAAAGAGCAGCCTATAATTCGAGGTGACATCCCAGACGGATGGCATTTTCAAAGCTGAAACAGAAGCTGGAATAGCGGCTATAAAGGAACTGGACGCGATTGATAAAGTCTCGAACGCTTGCAGCGCGGATGATGATGATCTGGAAAAGACTCAAAAGGGTAGATTCAAGGGTTGCCGAGGAAAGAAAAAGAGTCTGAGAAAAGCGATGCTCGGCTGTAATTTATAGTCGTGAATTTTTGATTTACGACGGTAATATAATAACGCCGTCATTTGTCGCATAAACAATCTGGTTCTGCCTGTATATAGCACATTACAATGCCACCCTGTTGAGAACAGAACGGAATTGGATTTGATGCCATATGTGTTCTGCAATGATCTACCTCCCTGGGGCCATAATGTAGGATATGACTAACATCATGAACATCGTGGGATTATAATTTTATGAAGGGAAGAAGCAATATTTCTGTGATGGCTTCTTAAGCATGTTTCTAATCTCAGAAGTAAGCAAGAGCACCAGATTAACTCAACTTGAGCGCATGAGATGCCGTGGTAGCTTGGGATAATGCAGTGGAAATATAATGCTGGTTCCAACTCTATCCCCAATGGATACCGCCCCCTCCTACTGGGGAAAGGGGGGTCGCTTGGGAGTGCGATACCTGGAGCTTTTGGATGCCATGAGGCCGACACGATTTGTCGCATAATATCGACTGACGGTAGAGATAATAGCATAGTTGGCGCTAATGCATGTACAACATTGGTCCGATTTCCGAAACCACTCCCGTTGCTTTGCGAGGCAAAAGTTCATGCCAGTTATGAGCATCCGCTCTATGGCTGGTGGTTGCCAAAATGCCGTTCCCAGGAAGCTGTCAAGGAGTTGCTTCCTTGAAAGATTATCTCGTCTTCGTCCGACGAACCGGGATATGCGCCATTCTCAGAGAATCATGCCGCACGCCTGAAAGCTCCAGGAACGGGTTAAGGTCTCCCTGCTCAGGTCTTTGCCGCAGGCCATAAAGGTCCAAAACGCCTTCCGCGTCCATGACCAGGATATAGAACTATTCACGTCTTCAGCGAGGACGCAAGATAGACGTATAACGGCAAAGAATAATGAGCGTGTTTGCCGGCTATATCGAACGGCTCGGTAATGGACGTGCTCCAATGACGGAACGATGGATATAGTCCGAATAAGCCTTCTCTCAAAGATCCATTTTCTGCTTTAGTCAAGCAAAATGGCGCTCCATTACCCTATTGGGAGGGATACCCTCAAGGAGTACCTCCTTGCCTTAAGCTCCAAAGAGTGCTGGAACCCCAGGGAAAATGCTGGATACTCATTGGAAATTATGTGATTGTGATAACTATTTATGAATATCCCACACAATCTCCATGCACTGATAGATAAATATGTTCTACCTTCAGCGCAACTTTGACAGTCGGGAGGATGGAGTGGTTCGCGTGGGTTTGGAGTGTGAAGCGTAGCCTGCCAAGCCTGCCTGAGGCCCCTTTTCCACGACGGGTTTAGCGTGCCCCTTTAGTGCCCTATTATCCTTCATTCTGACCACCCTGTGCTCTCTCTTCAGTGAACAAATTTGGCAGCCCACTCTCATACCTTGCAGTCATAAACTCAAATACACCTTGAAAAAGATGTGGTTTATTCCTCGAAGTATTTATGGAAATAGCAAAAGTCCAGAAGAACTGCCAATGGTCATTTGTTTGACAATACATCATTGTCAAGAGCAAATCAGCCCAAAAGCATCAAGGTCCGGTGTTTTCCCATGTCATTATGTCCAGACTTGATCTTTGTTTCGGCTAGTGGAATCTGGCTGGTTGAGGTATATGGCCTTTCCAACAAAGGAGCGGGAGCTGTTTATGCTCTGACAATGCTGAAAATTGATGCATGTGACTAGAGGTTTCTGGTATGCCACGGGAAGGCAGACATGTGTTGAATGGAGATGATCAATAAATTCATCGGATTTAGATCAAATTTATAAGCCCTATACCTCCCTGCACAAGCCTTCATCATAGCGCATCCTCCCTTATGCCCGCAAAGCCTAATCCTGAGAATTGGTGATACAAAGTGTTGATATTTTGAGAACAGTCCATCTGTGTGTGCTATAATTCTTCTTGTGCTTATCTCTTCTAGAATTCACCCGAGGATGACTACTCTTAAAAGGAGCAAAACCTTACCAGCGGATGGGCAAACCACAAAGTTCCTATATACAATTCTGAAGCAGCTAGATCTGAAATCGGTATGTGTACCCTTTGGGTAATCTTCCCATTCTACTCCTAATGCTTTGCTGCTTCAGGTTGATTGGAATTTGGTTGCATCACAGCTGGATATTAGCAATGGCCATGCTGCTAGAATGAGATTTTCCCGCTTTAGGCAGCACATGGAAGGGATAACCAGCACTCCCAGAACCCCTCGGGCTAAAAAACCGAAAGCGGAAAAAGCAAAATCAAAGAAGCAGACACTTGATGACTTAAAGGTATGGCCTGAGCCGCCGGTCATCAAGCCTGAGCCGTTTATCAAGCCGGAACCGGTCAATATTAGTCAAATAGATCCCTGTCTCCTTGCAATTCCCCGGGCTTCGGGACCAATACAAGCTCAACCTTTTCCAACCGTCACACCTGCCGATCTTGTCAGGCCCTATCCACCCTCCGAGATACCAGTTGGGTATCGGCGACCACCCGTTGGAGAGAATTGGCCTCAGATTAAAATGAAGCCATGCGATCAGAAAGTTGTTATGACAGATGTATTGGTGAAAATAGAACCTGAGAATTGAGGGTCAGGTCATGGCTGTGGTTAAGTCCTTTGCTGTCCAATATTATGTGATACTTACCTCCTCTGGTCTGTTTTATCATTCTTCCTAAGGAATGGTCATTGCAAAAGTGGGTTCTCCTTAGAACCATTGCAGTCTCGCGTGTCTAAGATTTTTCCATATCTATGGTTAGATCATATGTTATTTCAGCTTTCTTTCTGATGTGACTTTCAGTTGGTAGCCGCTCATGAGGCTCACTAATCTTACATTCTCTGTTTGCTCAACCAGTTTAAGTTTCCTATGGTGATTTAACAACTGCTAACTCGCATATCCCTTCATTCTGACTACCAAGTTAGAATCTCCCTTCATACCAACAGGACAGACATAGGTTGCAAGCTAACTGTATGTAACCTAGTGAATTCTCGATAATACTGTTGTCATAACTGTAACATTTGTCATAGTTACAGCCCTTGAACACAACCTTCGTTCTCTTCCTGAACAGCTCTGCCTTATATTTATCACATAATTTTCACTTTTCGCTCCCAGCAACAACCTTGCCTCAAGTTGTTGTTTGCCAGCCAATTCTTCTCAATATACAGTTTCTGATATTTCAACACTTCGATCCCATTTCTGCACCACAAGCGACGTCTTCAGATAAATCGTAGGAATATGGCTGACACTACTGTTAACTCAACTGAGGCAGTGTCAACAAAGGTCACTGATGAAATGTTCATGATGGAATGTTTCAAACATATCCAGACCCCTGCAGTGGTATGTGATGTCTAATTTTATTGTATATTTTGACGTTGCGCGCCTAGTACTAGGTAAAGTAGCTACATATATATTGACATGGAGCCTGCATAGGTCGATGTTAGTGGCGTTGCAAAAGTTTTGAACTATTCTAACCCAGTCTCTGTGTCCAATCGTCTTTCTCGCCTAAAGAAGAAGTTCAATCTTCGTATTAGCACCACCACCGGACCAATGCAGCTTGGCGATGATGGCGACGTAGCTTCTGTCGTGGCTGCTGCCACCGCTACATCAACTCCTCGAAAGGGTGCTCGAGCTACAAAGGGTCCTATCAAAGCCAAAGCAGCAACTACTGGTGATGAATCGAAGAGTGAGAGCCCCAGCAAACCTGCTCGAAAGGCGGGCGGTGGCCGGAAACGCAAGACAGCTGCAGATCCAACTCCTGCTGTGGTCGAAAAACAAGTTGAAAGCACTGAAGAGGAAGTTAACGGCAGAGACAAGGAAAATGGCGAGAACGAGTCTAAGGCCGACGAATTTACTGTTAAGCCAGAGACGAAGAGCAAAGAAGACTAAGTGCTAAGCTGTAAGTGAACGCATTTCCTAATCTTTTTGAGTACTTCTTTTAACCCGCTTCGACAGACAATTTCGGGTCATCCGTAAGCTGCTTCGGAACAGCGTTTACTCAACGGTTCTATGAGCAGCACCATTTACCTCAGAATCGTTTTCACGTATTCGTCCAGAAGTTTACTACCGCTCAACAAGTTGCAATTTTTCTAGTTTTATGTGCCAGTCTGGTACCGTTCTTCGCCAATGCCATATTCTCTTTAGCGCTATACTTGAGAATTGCTCAGATCGGCCCCGTCATGGTCTACTTCCCGGCTTATCTGTTTTGCCTAGTAATTATTCCAATCTTTATCGCTCGGGTCCTCTTGAAAAATTTGGGGACGGGCTTTTCCTTGCACGAGAGGTTTGGAAGCCTAGATACTTTGGGTAATTGCTTGGGACTGTTTACTCTGCATAATTTAAGGTGGTGAAGTTAGAGCAATACAAATCATTCCTGGCCACTCTTTCACTGCCTAGTCCTTGAATCCATACTGCACGATGAAAGTTACGGAAACCACGGAGGCATATTGGTCGCCGCTTTTGATGGTGGGCCCATTTATCTATAGAAACAGAAGAATATGGGCAGGTTCACTGCCTTAGATTAAAAGGTTTGTTTGGAGTCAAAAGTGATAGGATTTGTTTGCATTGCATCATTGGGGTTGGAATCTTTTGTTTTATTCATAGCATTGAAGGAGTAAGATTCTGAATTAAGGTATTCAAGGTAATATTGGACCATAGGGGTGAATTGCCATAAAGATTTCCAAATAACCAAAGCCGAAATTGCAGAGAAACACTTCAGAAGTCAGAGGAGAATCAGGAAACATTCCTCAAGTAAGCTATCAGCCTACCCTTTGTGGGTCCCATCTCTTCCCTTACACATTCTCCTAGTATCCATTTCTATAAGTAGCCAATCTCAGGAGTGATTCGTTTCTGTTCTCTTTCAACTTGCCCTCTGCTCACCTCTATCACTTGCTTTCATATCATCATCTTCTTTCATATGAAAAGGTGCTTCCAAACACAAAGCTGACAACATTTCTAACTCATCCCTATCTCAAACAGCTTCCTTTCTACCTAGTGAGGTACGCATCACAACGTGCTCTCCATACAGACAATTGTCAACAAATCCTTCACAGCTGTATATCAGAGAGGCATATTCTGACATTGTCAAGGAGGTTGAGGTCACCTTTTAAACCCCAGCAAATCAAGGTAGGAGACTTTCTGTTCAGCTGACTGACGCTTTGTTTTGGGCTGCTGTGGTGCGCGGCTGCAGAAAGCAATGGATGCTGTTAGAGAACGCGTCTTTTCGGCACTTCTTGAAGTGAACAAAAATCAGAGACAACTCAAGGCAATTGGCAAAAAAGCATTCCATCCGCCTCCTCCTTTCCTTTCTCTTTCTCCTATTTGTTCACCTTTCTTTAACCATCCTCCCTCTCTCCAACATCTGTGATCTCTTCTGTACCACCCTTTCCCTAGTCACCCAACTCTTCTTCTTGCATAATACACCCAACCAGCATACCAAAAGCTGAATTCAATCTAACACTGAAGGCTTTGTAATCAGGCAAAATGTCTCGCACCAGCAGTGAAGAGCAACTCAACTTCCTTCTGAGTTGTGTCAAGCACTCGAACAATGGAAAGGTATGTGGAACTTTTCTTACCCTACGCCCGCGCTTTTCGATCTTCTGTCACTAATGATAAAACAGGTTAACTTCGAAGCAGTGGCAACGGAGTGCGAAATCGTCACCAAAGGCGCTGCGTAAGTCAAACCCACTCTGCTCCCGGATGTGCTGCGAAGCTCGTGGTATTTGGTCCACATACCACTTTTTAACCGCCAGCCATCCTGGGACCCAGTCTTCTCAGCTCATTCAGATCGAGTTTCTAAGCAATATACCATAGTGCCAAGCGATATGAACGTCTTTTGAAAGCTAACGGAATCAACCCCAACGGACGTGGCCCAGCTGACGACGAGGCAAGCACCCCAACCGAAAATACTACGCCCAAAAAGCCTCGCAAGACCGCGGCCAGCAAGGCAGGAACTCCGAAAGAAAAGGAGCCGAAATCTGCGAATGCCACTCCACGCAAGCGCAGAGGAGGCAAAGCAGCGACTGCCGCCTCTCCAACAAAGAAAGCCAAATCTGCAGAAAAAATCAAGGAGGAGGATAGCGGTGATGAGGGTGAGATCAGCGAAACCGCAACCAGCGGGGATAATGATGGTGTCAAGCCCAAGGCAGGCCTTCGCACCAACAATGATCCTTTCTTGGCACCTGCTGCGGACAAGGGAAGCGATGAGGACGAGTCTCTCCAGGACTTCATCAACACCGCCAAATCTGCTGCTTTAAAGCGAGAGGATATTGAAACCGAGGTTTAAAACGCAATTATTCGCGAAGTGCCTTCTAGCAGAGGTTGATTTAAACGATAGCATGGGATGGGGTGCTTCTTTTCTTCCTGTCGACGAGAATCTTCACTTCTTTTCGTGTCCAAATGTTCTCTCAAGTTATATATACGCCCTGATTCCATTTTGCTATCACGGCGATATGTAGCTGATTGGATAAGAAAGCCTTCGACGTTGTATTTAGAGAAGATCTTGGCATCTCCAGGAAAGATAAATCAAACCGCGCATGATCATGTGACATGAGAAGCGAACCTTTAAAATAGACAAAAGCATTTCAATCAGTATGTAGAAATATTTAGAGATGTCACATAAATGCTTGTAAATATACATGGGGGAAAAAGGTGTGCATGGGATCCATATGCAAGACAGAGTCACCGCTTATTCCTCGAATTCTTCCTTCCCAGCTATGAAAGCAGCCTGATAATTAAATATCATCCATCACAACCTCAAGTATTTTCTTCTTATACTGTCGCAAAGCAGTATCTCGTTTCCGAATCTGTTTTTTCAAGCTCAGATATCGTTGTTTCCAATCCACACCTGTCTCCATCAGAAGCAAGTCATCCTCAGAGTCGTCAATTGCTACTCGCAAAGCATCCCTTGGGACTTTGTCCGTTTCGTGTATGTCCATGCCGACAGAATTCCCCCCATCGTGGGTATCTAGCGATGGAACGGAGACATGAATCGTTGTTTTAGTCGTGATCCCAGGAGCTAACATTAAGTCATAGTTGAGAACACATTGCATTCTCGGCTGTCCGTGGGAAATGCCGTCAAGAGCTGTGTAAGGCGTTGGTATAGCAGTGTCTATCTCTCTATTCTCACCTCGCGTGATTTTAATGGTCAACTGGCCAAACCTTTTGCCACCTAAACCAAGTTGTTGGCCTAGGCCCAAATAGACCGCGCAGTAAAGTGCAATCATATGGGAGGAGGCATTTGGAGCGCTCTGTGATTTGATCTGCTTGATAATTGCGTTGGTAATTGCGACAGACTCCTTTTCGCTAGGGGCAGACGGACTCCCTAATATTCTAGCATGTTGAACTTCAAGAGCGAACATACGAGAGACTTTGTCGAGGGATAGTGCGGTTGTGTTGTCGCAAGATACGAGGGGATCTGTATGTCCCAAATATGTATTCTGCGTGTTGTTGGTATATCGATGATTGGATTCTCCGGAATCCTGCGTCTCGAAAGACGCAGATGGCCGACGAAACTCCCCATTTACTTGTAGCTGTGGAGTTGCGAGTCGAACAGGCGGCCTGGGCGACCCTTTCGGCACTTGAAGTTGGAGTTTAACGGGTCGGGGACCGGTTGAATTCGGGGGAAGAGAAGAATTGGTTAAATCTTGCACGGTATTACCGGAGGTTTCCACGCCGACCCTTGCCAAAACCGACGGATCACAGTCTGCTTCTTGAGGAGGACCGCACCTTGCAGCATTTTGAGTGTGAAGTGTGCCCGCTGTTCCAGCGTCCCTTGCACTTTCAAGTGGCTGTTGACTTCCCTCACCACTTGGTTGAATACTACGGGATGGAGCCCACGGAGACAATACAGGTTGATCTCTGCGTCGTTTATAATGCATCCTATTTGCAAAGTCTGGTGTGATGGCGGATTTTGGCTCTCTTTCGAAAAAAGCATCCTGGGTGCTACCACGGGGCGTAACAGCTGACTGAGGATATCTGAGGGGAGAAGATCGCTGTGGTCCAGGAAAATCCCATCTTGCACCATCTGCTGGTGTAACATTATGTCGCTGATCTCCAGCTGGATTTCCGGTACCAAAGGCGGAGTTGGCTGTCCAGTGGTCGTGTTGCTCAAAGTCATCCGGAAGAGCACTCCAGGGCAAATAAGGGTCGCTACTATCAGTGTTGGGGTTTTGTGTATCTAAACGTGGCCTTTTCGGGTTATTGGTCTCAGCCAGGGCGCGTTTTCGACCCTTTCTAGGCTTCCATTCGGGATATAATGCTCGTAAGGTGAGATCTTCCTCTCTTGAAACGCCGTCCCTGTAGCCTCCATCTTGATCGTGTAGAGCCCCGACGTTGGTATAATAAGGATGTTGATTACCCATACAATAGTCGAAAAATGCGTCCACGTGCATTGCACGCATCCAGCGCTAGTCGGAGATCAGAATCATGGCAGAAGAATCCATATGTAAACTGATAACACGAAAGAAATGGTTCAGACCTTTAAGCGCACAGCGTACTGCTGCACCTTTTGGGTACTTTGCTTTTTTTCCACGGAGGGAGGCTCGACACCCAGTTCAATGGCGAGTTGAATCCAGGTTTTGATCTCCTTCCGGTCGAGTTTCTGTATCAATTCCCAGAGAGTATAAATACTGAAACATTTCCCGTCGCTCCGAGGTGGTAATCGGAACATCCTTCGCAATTCTGACGTATTCGTCGTTGACGGCACTCCGGGGTTACAATAAAAGATGAAATCTACATAGGCATCGTCTATTGTCGCATCAGTGATGTTCCGCGAAGGCAGGGTGCGTGGTTCAATCGACTGTACAAGCTCGCCTTGCCGCACCGGGACCGGGACAGGGGGTGACATGGACGCTGCCGAGTGACTCCTCCGGATAAGCTCTGAACGAGGCAGTCTCGGGGAGGGCTGAAGACTTCCGGGTGTGCTTCTTCGGTATAATGGGGGTGACATCGCGGTGCGAAAAGGCCCTTGGCTCAGAGACCCAGACGGAGGCGTGGTACCCATAAGCCCGGGCGTGCTCTCGGACTGATGCTGTTCCATGACAAGCAGGCGAATTTGAACTGACACAGATGAAAACCCGGGCGAAAAGATGCGCAGCCTCTGTCATCAGGTCATGAGAGAAGAGAAAATTTTAGAAGGATCAGTTCCGCGCAATCGGAGCTTTGCTGAGATGTGAGAAAAAAGCCCGTAGTGATGATTGACTAGCAAGATAGCGCTCTGGCCAGGGGTTCTTTGAAACTGTTTAACTGAATATCGGGAGCTAATTACATTGAATAATGAGACACTCATAAAAGAAAGATCGTCTCAAAAGCACATTCTGAAATGACAGGCGGGAGGGGGCAGCTCCGAGATGCTTGTCCTTTGGCCTTGACGCGGACAAAAATAGAAACAGAACGCTTGGCCGGCAAAGAAAGTCGAAGATCTGCCCCTTAACCGCTAAGGATCGGCCCCTCCAGGTTGTCTGTGTCAGCCATAAATAGCACAGGCTGCGCTGCTGAAAGCCCACCAGCGCACTCCTGTGGAATTTTACCTTTTTTTTTTTTTTTTTTTTTTCGCAGCTTAAAAAGGGCTGTCTCTGCTTCTCAAACCCATTACAGAGAAATACCAGATTGATTTGATACCTGGTGCTGGAATTTGAGACTTCCTGTAATCCTGTGATAAAGCAGCTAACGTAATCCACAAGCGAGCGAAAGATTAAGGTATCTACGCTCAACAACCCTTAAATAGATTAAATTACATTACAATAGGACTAGGGCAGCTTCTTCTTGTATGGCCTGAAATATGGCAGTTCGTACACCTTGGTGGTACCCGGGAACGTGATGCAGGCTCTGAGGCTGCAGGCTCAGAGAGTTGAGTGACTGACTGTTCAACCTCAGCAATCTCTTCCCTAGTTAGACCTCCTTCACATTGAATTCGGTGCTTAGATCTTGTACGTTTTTGCTTCTCTTTCTCATTTGCAGCAAATATATCCTGATATTGCTTCTTCATAATAGTGGCGTTGACCATTCCATATTCGCAGGCCTTGATAATTTGGTCAAATCCTTCCATTAAGCCCTGGAGTGAGCTCTCAAGCCCCTGCCCCATAAGATTCTTGATCTTATCCACCTGCCTATGCAACTGCCGGGGGTTGCTTGGTGTTTGTAGGATCCAGGATGACTGGGAGTTGCTAGATTGGCTAGCTGGGAGAGTAGGTGTTTGGAGTTGAATATCCAGCTGCTGAATAACCTTGCTATCCTCACATTTTGCTTGCTCATAATTATAGCATCTGCAATAGCAGCATTTGAGCTCTGTACAGCATTTAATCAGATTTGACACCCAGTTCTTGCCAACACGCGGGGGAGGAGAGGTAGGATCTTGTATGGCAAGAAGATGATTAGCCATATTCTCAACAAATGCCAGTCCGGGGGGGATTCCTTGTTTAGCTAGGTCTAGGATCCATTGAACTAGCTGATTCTCTTCAGGCTCAGTCAATTTATGTGAATTTGTGTGTAAATTCACCTGTGCAGGTCTGCCTTTGAGTTGATGGGCAAGAGTAGAGCGTGGCACATCAAATAAGCATGCAGCTTCACGAATTGAGGATATTTCTTCATTTTTAAAAGCAGATATTGCGAGCTCAAGCCTTCCCTCTATCTCTATAGAGTTTCTTGCATTTTTATTGCGAATTGGTGGCATATTTACGCGTTGAAGTGGCTTGATTAGCGAATTGAAGATATTTTGGATTTGGTGTCCCGCTCGCTTGTGGATTACGTTAATGTGGGTGACTAAGCAAAAATTATATAATTGGTTACCTAAGCAGCCATCGATGACTGCTATTAACTATTTCCCTCCTCTTGACTACTCGCGTTCCTTTTTCCTCACTTTTGCTGCTGGTTGAGAGGCCATCACACACTTTCCTCAGAGACTTGTCCAACCAGTTCTGCTACCTCTACTCTAAGGTCTACTCTTTGGTACTTTGTTCATCTGTGATCGCAGGTGATCCTTGGGTTGTTCTCCTTGCAACCTCAAGCTCTATTTCAAACGGTGGCTCCTCTAATTACTTTTGGATGATCCTCAATCTGGATTGTATCCTTCAATCCCCCAAGTCTCTTTCTATGTTTCAAGTGATCTAGTAGATGGTGTTTCTACTTGGTTTTTCTTTTCTTTCGTTTGACTCGACATGGCGCCAGCCCTTCGGTCAATGCGGCCAGCTCGTCAACACCAAGCACAGCGCCCCGTTCGCTCAACGCGTGGGGCAGTGGTCAGTTATAGAGAAATCTCAGACTCGGATCCCTCGGAAGTTGAAGTCTCTGTACCTGAGGATGATGATAATGACGATGATCGCGAAAGACAGATTCAAGCCCTTGTGCGCATCATCGCGAGAGAGGCAAGGCTGGAACATCCCAACATTCGTCCCTTGCCCAGGATAAAACGTTCGCTCAACTCTACAGTTCCCACCAAGCCGGCAAAAAAGTTCAAATTGGAACCAGAAGGCGTTAAGCCGCCATGGCACACCCTTCCTTACCATGTCCTCTTCAGTATATTTCTCTACCTGTCCCCTTTCATGAGAGACAGCCCCTTGGCCGATACCTCTCAGTCCGTAAAATGCTTGCTGAGGCTCTCTCGTATGTGTCGTGCTTTTTGTGAGCCCGCACTGTCGGCCCTATACTTTTTACCGCCTCTACATCCAGCTGGGAAACTGAAGGGCTTGCTGGATCTGTTAAAGATGGACCCGGATTCCATGTCTATCAACTATAGGGACAAAGTGAAACATCTTGAGGTGGACATCTACCGCGCGAAGCCGGTATTGTTATACTCCCTTCTTAAGTTCACGCCACGGCTTAGACATTTGCGACTGTATAGTCTGGGGGAATACGACCGCAGTAAAAACATAACAAAGCACATTCCCCGCTGGTTGTTCTGCGATATGCCCCAGCCAGAAGCTCTGCGCGACTTACGCCTTCATAGCTGGGAATGGAATGGAGAAATTAATTTCCCATCCATCAAGTCTGTCCATAGCCACCCGGCGTTTACGTCCCTTCGGAGCGTACGCTTTTACAAACTAGAGCATTGTGACTGCGGAGCCTGCAGAGCCCCACGTGAACTAGATTATAAAAACCCTGCCGTTCAAGCGGAGGAGCTAGTCACCGCTCTCTCTCTCTTGCCTTACCTCGAAAGACTAGAATTCAAGTCTTGTGACTTTGCGGCTGACTTGTTACCATTTCTCTCAATGGCTCTGACTTCACTATCGGTCATCGATTGTGACAATGTGGACTCGTTCATCGTCGAAAAATTCTTATCAAATCACGGGTACTATCTACGTGAGCTGGTTTTGACTCAAAACTATTGCCTCAATATGTCTTTTACCACTCGCTTGGCAGAGTTGTGCCCGTATTTGCAGGTGTTCATCATGGATTTCAACTTATCGAGAGAAAGACGCTTAGCGGGTGATGTTAATCCTTTCGACAATTTATTATTGGATTATGATCCTCCATCATGGCCGCCAACTTTGCAGTATTTGGAATTGCAGCATTTGTGCAGGTGGGAAATACAGACCGCAGAAATTCTTTTCAATTCTCTTGTTGAATCTGCTCATCAGCTTCAAGACTTGAGGACCCTCATAATTACCGCAATTATAAAAATCAGCTGGCGTGACCGGGCAAAGTTTCGCGAACATTGGATGGGGACTCTCGAACGGACTTTCTTAAGAAAGTCCCCTCCGCCGAGCACTCGGCCAACCATCCTAAAGCCAACACGTACCTCTCAGGCTGGAAGCTCTTCTAGCGATAGCAACGACACAAGAAAACAGTCTTTTGAAGCTATTCCGCAAAGACGAAGCAGGCGCATTGCCCAACGGATCGCATTAATTGACGATATGCAAAGCGGATCTGTCACAGTAGGAAAGGGAAAAGAACCGGCAAATGGAGGTTTCGAGTCTTCAGCGAAGCAGACCCAGGGTGGCCCAGTGCACGGTATGTGTGATGTGGTCAAGGTCCGCATTGACAATCTGCGGCCTGTTTCAATTCCTCAAGCAGCGGAAAATCTTGCCGATGAAGACAGCGGTGATTCTGACTGGAATGGCGTTGACCCAGAGTTTGACACCAGCTATGCCTGGTAGCGCCCAAAAAGTGGGTGTAATTTCTCCTGAAAGCTTGAGTCTGCTCTCATGGGCGTTTTGACTCAAACCTTGGTGATCCTTTCTTTGTTGAGACCTGTATTTAAATACGTCCACCCTACGTTGTGACTGTTCTCCAAGAGTAGTGAATTCTGTGGAGGACACCAGCGCTTTACTTCATTCTCTGGCAACCTGGTGCATCCAATGGCGTATGGTCAGGCGCTGTCCTACAAGATTTACAAGTTGTAAAGGACTTGCATGGACAGACAGAGCAATTTGGGAGTTATATGGCATGGTGGAGATGGATGGTATTATGAAACTGGTTCCCCTTCTCCTTGGGCTTATTTGCGTTGTTATGTTTAAAAACTGGCAATTGATGAATCCAAGCTTTCCGCATCATAACGGCACCTAATGCATAATCTCTTATTTATTCAGCAATTGGTTGTAAATTCTTTGGCTCACCTTTGTGAAAAGGTTGGACGTCATCAATTATCATAGACATATGTATTCCTATAATTGTCTTCCGTCCCAGCCTCAGTGCAACAAAGCTTTAGTTGGGTTCACCGAGGGCATATCCAGTAAACTTGGGCATGGATGGCTCCAAAGTCCCTTGGGTCCCCGATTTCATAGGGATACATGGTTACCAGTAGCTTCAAGCAATCCTGGGATGGAAAAGGAGATTCTGAGATCAATCTTGTGATTCCACCCGGGATGGAAGCTGATATGCACATACGTACAATACACTCTGTACGGAGTACTCCGTGCACACTTGCATTTCTATCTCCTGTATCGAGTTGGAGCTGTGTTTGTCCAACTGGATTGAGGTCGGCTAATGCGAATTGCTACATTTTCAGCCAATTACCTCAACCTTTCATTAGGTACCAAGCTTTCATCGGGCACAAGACTTGGGCCTCCTCCATTCCGTCGACGGAGATACAAACTGGGGACAGGGGAACCTTTTGACAGTCTAGGCCCAACCAGTCCCTTGCTCGACAAGCCAGTTGGTGCTCCAGTTCGGCGTGATTCGCGTCTTGGTCACGCAGCACCACACATCCTTCCCCCCCCAAATATCTTCAACAACCAAACCGACGAGACCCACGATTCTCGAAGTGATTGTGCTTCTCTCGGCCTCGACGCTATTTAAGACGCCCACGCGGAACGTGAAAGAGTGGCTATTTACATCACATCTCGAATACAAGGCGGACTCGTGGACTAATCACATCGCTCACAACCTTCACAATGCCGCCGTCGCAGTCCTGCTAATTGGCGATCGCTCTTGATCCATCTGGGTGGCCGCCGTCTCATCTGTCCGGCCCTTTTCTTCCTTTCTTTTTTTTTTTTTTTTTTTTTTTTTCGCGCTTTTTCACAGTCTCGTTCAGCGTCTCCCGTCTTCGCTGGTGGTAATTTCAATGTTTGTTCTTCCTGCGGGGAACATCGTCCTCACTCTCTGCCGGTCCCAGACGACATACAATAATCTTTAATACCATCAAAGGGTTCACGTTTACGAGTGTACGATTATCATCTAAGCAATCGTCTTTCTCGTTGGTCATAGCGTCCCGGAAACGGCGTCCATCTCGATCCTTTTTTTTTTTTTTTTTTGCAAGCATGAATCCGCAATCATCGAGGGTACGAAGCCCAGCAGACGTCGGTGGACCGTCCACATCTCCGCCGCCACTGCCAGAAGGATGGTATGCATTTTGCCCACCCGATAGTTCTTTTTGCATTTATTGATAACACTATGGTTTAGGCTCGCACAATGGGAGGGAACTCTTCGAAAATGGTACTTCGTGCAGCCTGCTACAGGAAAGTCACAATGGGAAGTTCCCACTGAGCCTTTTATTCCCACGCCGTCTTCTACCCCTCACTCTATTGCAAGTCCCGGTCCATACCATGCCCCACGCGCGGCAAGCCTGGCGCCCTCCGAGACTGAAGCGGCTTCAAGAGAGTTTCAAGAACTGAGAAGCGGAAAATGGCCGGGTAGCGGCAGCTTCTCTGTACGTGAAAGCTGCGCTGAAATTACTTTTTACGCTTAAAACTGACAACATCTTTGCTAGAACAATTCATTTGGAAGTATGCAGCCTTCACCGTATCAACAGGTTTCAACCCCCGGATCGCAACGCACTCCAACTCTCAGTGGCACACCCACAATGAGTGATCAAATGCAGTCCTCTCGTCCGTCCAGCCAGGGCATCCTCGGACAGGTTGCATCTGATCTAGCCAGCCGAACCAACAATGATGAAATGGTCGATGTTCAACAGACCGTACGTATGACTAATTGTTTTCCCGAAGTTTGTTACGTTTCGAACTGAGCGCCAAAGTCTAACACGTCCGGTACTTTTCTTTGCCCGCAGAATACCCCCAACCAATACACGTGTCCTCCATCGTATAGTCAGGTCCAAGGTACATCAAATCAAGTCCAAGATGTCACCATGGGACAAGAGACATCGCAACTGCAAAATGAAAACACAGGTGCAGGCACATCTTTTACACCCCAGCAGAGTCAAGCCCCAGCTTATGCCACCCCGGATCATGGCCAGATACCCCAAGGAGCGCCCATTCCATCTAGTATGCCTGGTACAGCCCCAATAGCCCAATCCCACGGAGAAAGCCAGCCTGCAATGGTCCAGCCAATAAGTAGTGCCCCAATGGAGCCCGGTGCCCAGTACCAATACTTTCCTGGACAGACACCCCCAGCGCAGCAAGGGATGATTCCTTATCCCACCCAGCCGCATCAGCAGCCGGATCCATATTACCAGAAAGGCCCTATTCCTGTTCCACCAGGCCAGTTTCCGTCTAGGATCGCACCAGGTTCTCAACCAAAGGACAATGGCATTACCGTAATCCACCCGGATCCAAATGCGGCTCCCCTCTTTCCAACCCGCTATAGCGATGCAGAGCGGCGTCGCCAGCAAGCGGGGATGCAAAGTGGGTACAATAGCCGTACACCCCCAGGCCAGGCCTATCAAGTGCCGGCAGGAGGTGGATATACCCAGAATACGGCACCCAACCAGGGAGGATATTCCCAGTATGACCAGTATGCCCCGAGAAGTGGCCAGAGACAACCCAGCCAGGGAAGTGGTCCTCCATGGGATTATGATAGGAGCCAGCCAGAGCCTCAAGGAGGATACCCGGTTCATGCGCGTTATACGCCGCCTCAGCAGCACCAGCACCAGCCACAGCCCCAGGCGCAGCATTACAGAGCAGATAGTGGAGGATATCCTGGAGGATGGGGCAGATGATTATTGGCATTTTTTATTTAGTTTTCTTTTATATGTGCTGTTTTTTTTAATGATAATTATGGTCATGGTGGATGATGTTTATTTGGGGGGTTTCTTATTTCAAGAGTAACTAATATATCACGGCCATTGGGACTTGCAAAGAAGATACGTAGCAATGCATGTGAGCGATGATATCCACGGGCTTAATGAAGATTCGCTTGAGCCTCTGCTCCGTAAACCGCATGTGATCTGGAATCCGTACATATGGCGATCGCGCTTGTGATTGGATAGTCCGGTATCAGAACTTTATTATTCATAAATCCTAGAAGGCGGTGAAGTCTGAAGCTTCTCCCAAAAAAGATTCTGCCAGACTAATATTTTTTATGGCCGCCGAGTGAGTCGCAAATATATAACCATTGTTGGAAGACATCCCTGCGCAAGCCAGGCTAACGTGAACCAAAAGAAGGCGGAAATGGCGTCCGTATATAAGTCCGTTTCGAAGAAACGGAAACCCAGCCTAAAAGAAGATGAACACGATGAGGACGTGGAGATGGAGCTAGAGGAGAGGCTCAGTGACGAGAGTAGCGATAGCGAATCGGACGAGCAGTCAATTGAGAATCATGATACGAACGGCGAAATGAATACAAATTCCAACGACAGATCAAATTCATCCGGGTATATGCCCAAAACTAGAGTTTTAATGCTCACGTCTAGAGGTGTAACGCATAGGTGAGTGACTTGGAGGGGGAGGGAGAGAAGATTGCGCATTGCATACGCGCTCCCGAAAATCATTTCTATCAAGCGTTCTAACTGTTAAAAACTTTTAGACATCGTCATCTCCTTGCCGATCTCGCGGCTCTCCTTCCACATACCCACAAAGAAAGCAAACTCGATACCAAGAAGAAAACAACCGGATATAACTTCCTCCTCAATTCCCTCGCCGATCTTCACTCGTGCAATGTCATTTTCTTCCTCGAGGCGCGAAAACGCGGACAGGACCTTTATCTGTGGCTCTCACGGCCGCCGAATGGCCCCACGATAAAATTCTCCGTAACCAATTTACATACAATGGGTGAATTAGGCACGGGGTTCGCCGGAAATTGCTTAAAAGGTGGCAGGGGCGTGGTTGTTTTTGATCAATCGTTTGGTGATGAAGAGGTTATGAAGACCGGAAACGAATGGAGAGGGCTTGTTCGGGAAATGCTTAGAGGGGTGTTTTCTGTGCCTAAACGTGGGGTGAAGGGAATGAAGCCGTTTATTGATCGGGTGATCGGTGTTTGCTGGGTTGACGGGAAGATATGGATCCGAGTCTTTGAGATCCGGGAGACGGATGGTAAGAGGGAGAAGGATGGTGAAGAGGAGGAAGCTGCCGATAAAAGGAGGTCTACGCGGGGGAAAGATAGGCTACCAAATGTTTCTCTGGTTGAGATTGGTCCGCGATTTGTTCTTACGCCGATTGTGATCCTTGAGGGCAGTTTTGGTGGCCCCGTCATCTACGAGAATCGCGAATATGTGAGCCCGAACCAGGTACGGCGGGAGATCAGGGTGAAGAAAGCCGCTAGGTATGCTTCGAGACGTGCGGGGCAGATGGATAGGACGGTGAAGAATGCTGGATTGGGATTGGGCGCTGAGGGCGAGGCAAATAGGAAAAAGGATGAGCTTGATCCGCATGTGCTTTTTGCATGAACTCGTTCATGGTATTTTCTATTTCCTAGTCTGGTGGTGGGAGTAATGTATTATTCCGGTAGGTGTATTTACGGGCAATTCTTCTTCTATGATATTCAGCCCTCCTACGGCAAAATTTATTGACCTGGTCTTTGGTCGCCATATCGTATTCTCTGCTTTCCCTTCCATATACCACTTCATCTCCCTCCTCCATGATGCCAAGTCGAATATCCTCCCATACCTGCTTATGTCAGCGACTGGCTTGCGATCCCCCCAGATTCGCCCCTTGTTCTGCACTCAACTCCAGCTTCTTCTTCCCTCTGCCTCGAGCCAGCAACCATGGAGGCAAGTGACTATCATCCAGGCCTTTTGTGCCTGTCTTCTCTTCACGACCCCAACTTGGCCTCGGTCAGCAAATTGCACAAAGATGTGACTATTTTCTATGAACCCCCCAGCAGTGGGGTCGCTAGCAGCTAATCACATCACCTGTCTGTTTTACGGAGGACTTGCATTCGCGATATTGCCTTGCAACACCTCTGTATTCCTTCCTAAGAACTGTCCGGCGTACCTGCGACTTAATTTGTTGTTATCAAAAAAGCCAACTTCCGATTTGCTCTGCTGTAGAGAGCTATTTAACTGAACGCGATAGAACGAGACCCGCGGAGTTTGTGTATATACAGTAGTGGTATGGGAAGCTTTCGGGCATTGCAGTATCATTCTAGCTAACGGCCTCTATATAGACCTTCCACAATGTTCTTCGAATTCTTAGCCACTGAGCTCGTGCTCCACGTGTTCTACTCCTGCGATTCCATCGCCGATGTTCTCAACTTGTCCCAAACATGCCACCGATTTCATAGAATTTTCATCGGTTCGCAAAAACTACCTGTCCTAGCCAACGCCGCTGAAGCCGAATATGGCCCCTTACACGAAATTGTTCAACTTGTTACGCAAAATGCAAGCCAACCTGCGCATAAAGTCCGTCAAGCACCAATGTCAACTAACTTACTGGAGCAAATTGTCCAAGTTGGAAGGGTAGCAAGGCGCTGGGAGGAAATATATCCTATCAAAAAATGGAAAGCCGACTATGAGAATCGGCGACTTTTAACCGATATAGAGCGTTTCCGTCTCCGACGCGCTATATACCGGCTTTGGCTTTACTCGCGGGCGTTTCATAGTCCTTCGTTCCCGCGTACTTCGCGGGTTGTTCCGGTCATTGTACGAGAGCGTGCTGAGCTGCTCCACAATTGGTCGACCAGTGAATTGGCGGAAATGGAAGACGTTCGACTAGTCATTCGCGACGTCGTTCAAAATCACATATGTCCGAGTAATGGGACTATCCAGCGCAAGTTTCACAAGCGTTATCCGGACGCTAAAAACTCATTGTTGTTTAATATACATCTCAACTACCCTCCACCTACAACAGAATTTATCACGAGCAGCAGCAACCATAATAGCTTTGATACCTTTTTCTTCAGCTCCCGCTCATCCCATAGCGGTCCTAGTGATGACAACGGACCATTTTGTCACCACACATCTCCACCAAACAAATACGCTACTAAATTTCGGTCCGATCTATACCATGAGCCCGGTCTTGAAGGTTGGGGTGATGAAATACCACACTATTACGTGGTTGAGGACATGCTGAAGTTGGATCCAAGTCAGGTCCTGTGGTTACGGGAGAACACATTGTTAAAGGAGCATGTGGAAAGATATATTAAGTCCATGGGGGAGTGGTTTGAAAACAACGGAGAGACATTTGCGCAGACGCTAGAGTGGGTGGTCAATGAGCGTGGAGAGGACATACTCTCATTTCGAGAGGCTATTAGTGACGGGGAATTAGGGATTGCAAGGACTGGGTAAACCTGAGCTTAAGTGTCATTTCGGTTTAGATGAATAAATTCTGGTGATGTCTTTCTTGTTTCCTCCACTTAAAGAGTGCCTATTGCCCGGTTGATTATAGTGACACTGCCTTATGTGCTCATTATACTTCACCATGGCTATCGGTTGTAATTCGGGTGTGTGGACCATTAACGACCGGGATGGCTACCTCGCTGAGAGCCTGGTCGAAGTGGCGGAACTCTTACTCCTATAAATTCCAAGCTTTCTCCGTACACCGTAGATCAGACCGTTCGAGTCATTATGTCATTGTGCAAAAGGGGAATGCTGTATATTATGTATTGGAGAAGCTGCCGAGTAGATGTAAAAGAAGGCACAAAAATAGCACGAGCTAATTATTGGTTTAAAAGGTACGGTGTAACAGTGACCCAATTCCCAATTGAAAGAAGATAATACGAAGAGAAAAAAAAAGAAAGGAAGAGAAAAAAAAACAGTAAACAAGTCAGTGGACAAGAGACTCGAATGGGCAAAGAAACAAAGAGAAAAATGTAAAAAAAAAAGGAAAAACGATCAAAACCCCCCACTCCCAGTCATGAAAAGAGAATCTCTGCCTAAACCACCCTCATTGTTCATGTCAACATCAATATCCTTTTCTTGCTTTCATGGACTACCACCTAAATACCGTGCTTGATCATCGCAAGGAAATTGCAGTGGATCAAAGGAAGGATAACACGGGGGCTCAGATATGCATCTACTCATTCAAGCCAAGGAAAAAAGGATGTGCAAAAGAATAAACAGAACTCATTATTTCCCTATCATCAGAAGAGATCGGAACAATTGGGGTGGCCTTGGGAGAGAAAACAGTAGAATGAAATTCTATGCCCGTTGAGTCATTATCGCCATACTTTAAACCTAACAGCATCCTTGCTTAGACTCGGGATCTTGTGTTTTGGTGATTTCGACGACTTTTCGGTCGGAAAGAGGGTTCTGAGCAGAGTCACCGCTATCTAAGGCCTTGCTAGAGACAATGCGGAAGATTTCTACGGTTGTCAGTAGAAGCCAGCAAAGACAGTGGGAGAGATGTGTATACCAGTGAGAATGTTTTGGAAAGCAAGCTCGACGTTGCTCGCATCGAGAGCAGAAGTCTCAATGAACGAGAGGTTGTTGTCACCTGGTAGAGTTTAATGTTAGTGGTAGAATACACCGAAGATAGAAGGACGAGGAATATCATACTTGCAAACTGCTTGGCTTCCTCTGTGGGGACCGCCCGCAGATGTCTTAGATCACTCTTGTTGCCAACAAGCATAATGACGATGTTAGAGTCTGCATGATCTCGAAGTTCTTTCAGCCACCGCGTGACATTCTCGTAAGTCTGATGCTTGCTGATATCATAGACAAGAAGTGCACCAACAGCACCACGATAGTAAGCGGAAGTAATAGCTCTGTATCTCTCTTGGCCTGCAGTATCCCAGATCTGGGATTTAATAGTCTTGGAATCCACTTGGATGGATCGGGTCGCGAACTCGACGCCGATAGTAGACTTGGAGTCAAGGTTAAATTCGTTGCGTGTGAAACGGCTTAGTAAATTGGATTTGCCAACACCGGAGTCACCGATCAAGACCACTATTTAAAAGGAAACCAAGGATTAGTCGTTGATAATCTTATTGAACGTGCGCGAAGCATGGGGTTGGACATGGCTGCACGAGGGGTGTAACACGTACCCTTGAAAAGAAACTACAAGCCGGCAATGTTAGCATCAGCGACACATCACCATACACTGCAAGAAGGCTGTCAGACATACATCATATTCGTCGTTGGCCATGATGGCAGGCTGCGTCTTGTGATCGTGGAGGACGAGGGAGGTTGAAAGCGGTAAAGGGAGGAAGTTGTGAAGCGGGAGCTTTGAGTAAGGCGCCTAAAAATTGACACCGGAAGTTGAAATGCAGTTGTAAAAGAGAAACGGAGAACCTTGTGGCCTGACTTGAACAAGGAGATGTGAGTTTGCTGTGAAAAGGCAACAGGATAAAAATAAATTAACCAAGCTGGACCGTGTGTTTGAGATGTCGCTCTCTCGCAGACCGTCTGGCTGGACAGGGGCCGTTTGTAGTGGTACCTACTTTTCTAGTCTATTTACTAATAACATGAAGTACCAGTACGGGCTACACGCTAAGCAGCAGCTTGGAGCCAACGTCCTACACTGCGGAGAAATGTTTTATAAGTGCCGAAGTCGAACTGCCCAGACCATGGAAGCCAACCTTCATTTACACAGCTGCGCTCCGAGATAGCCCATAATTATCTACTCCGTACTTTCTCATAGCTGGTTAGCCGCCCGCCTGGAAACTCTCAACTCCCTTAAGCCGCCTGCTTTCTCCGCTGTGACTCCCATGGTTTGACGTTGGGGAGCTGGCTGGGGGGCTGTCTGTTCAGCGGCCAGCAGGAAAAGCATGTGACCTGGGAGTCCAAAGGGGGCTTGGCGTGGATTCTGCCGGCGATGTCTCGACCGATTGCCAGCTCAACCTGCTCTTAACCGGCTGTCATGAAGCACTGAGATGCGAACAGAATAAGGATGCTCGGGATTTACATGACCTATTTCGCTCTGCTCATCCACTGGCACAGCAGCCTGTTTGAATCTGTAAGGCCTTCCCTGCTGGTCTCTGCCCTTGGAGACAATTTTTTACAGTGCCAGTCAAAGTGATGTTTGATAGAATAGCGCATTGTCGCTGGCTAATTCCTTCATTTAATTTATACCATCACGTTCATGGGTGCTCTAATCATGAACTAAATTTTCCTGCTGCATTCACCAGTCTTGTCTCATCTCCCTCTCTCTCCCCCCTCTCTCTTTTACCCTTTCGTCGCATCTTCAACTTAACTATATTTCATGCTAACCCTAAAATTAGAAAAAGCCCCCTCTCCACAAGAAGAGTGTTTTGTTTTAATACCCACTTTGTGCTCTTTTGTCCATCATCTTCGAAATGCCAGAAAACACTGATCTCAGTGACGATGAGATTTCACTCACATCCACTGTGCCAAGCGAGCCTCAGGATGAATATGAAGTGGAGTGTATCTTGGCCCAAAGGGTCTACCATGGAAAAGAAATGTACCTTGTCAAATGGGCAGGCTATCCCATGGAAAGGTCCACTTGGGAAACTGAGGACATGTTTCTCAATCCTCAAACTCTTGAAGATTGGGCTGTAAAGCAAGAGGCTATCAGGCGTGGCGAGAACTCGGCATTTGACGTCGAAGCATTGGAACAAAAATGGCTCCTACTTGAAGCCGCTACAGCAAAAAGAAAAGCAAGGCGGAGAGAAAAGCGGAAGCGACTTGGGTATTCGGGCAGACGCCCATCTGCGAGCAGTGACCCTGGCCATTCAGATATCTCCGACTTTGTAGTCCCCGATGATCTGGTCGAACATGAACAAAATAGTACCTCTGAGGACGAACCACTCATGAAGAAGAAACACAAGGCAAGTCCGACCAAAGAAAAGAAGAAATTTAAAACACCTGCTCCGCCTACGCGCTCGGACTCTGCAGGGCAACGATCGTCCTTTCACAACCTGGTGAATCTGCCGTCAGTCACTGAGCCCATAATACCGACCAGACCATCCCATCCAACTCCCTCGTTGCCCCACCATACGAATAGAAGTAGTCAGGACTTCTCCTCGTCGTCGTCCAATCGCCAGGACAGACCCCGACAGCCTAAATTGAGCGTAAATACTTCCTCCACGGCTCCTGCCTTGCCTCCCAGAACGGACCACATTTCACATCTTTTTGGAGGCCAAAAAGCGAGGAAATCCATCCTAGACAGAATTTCTCCGAAACGAAAGGGTGAATTGTTTAGTAAACTTTCCACGCAGAGAAGATGGGAAAAAGCACTCCGGCGCGAAAGGGCTCCAGACATATCACAGCTGGAGCTTCGAAGACCTCAGGATTGGCTGCATTCGCCGAAAATGTCGAATCCTCAAGAATCGCCTATTTCGAGGGATCATGGAACATCTTACAGTCTGTTCGTGGATCAAGAAGACGCCGACCTGTTGCCTACGAATTCTCGAACTAATCCGCAGAACCCACAAGAGCATTTCGATGATCACCAAACCCGACAGACCTCATCAGACCAGCGTCCTTTGTGGCCAAATTCCACCATCTCTCCTCATGATAAGAAAACCCAGGAGTTCACACCCGGCCTTAGTCATCGCGCATCCACGCGTCGCTTTTGGAATCCCGGTGAAGTTCTTGTGAAACTAAAGTTTGGAGCTGTGGACAAGGTGATTGGTGACGTGCGAATTTGTGGATTGAATCCAACAAGTAAAGGTCAACTTCTCAATTTGAAGTCAGGCACCATCGACATTAATTTTAATGATGTCTGCACCAGCAAAGAGTATGAGATGTTGTGTGATCGTGTACGTGAAGTAGACTTTGGATTTTGTTCCTTGTTTGCCAAATATATTTCTGTCACATACTAATAACTAATCGAGCAGAGAACAAATGTAAAATATGCAAACGCTTGGGTTGTTGGTTATGAAGATACGGCCAAAGAGGTGACAGCAATGGCTAATTACCTACGCCAAAATGATTTAGCAGCCATCTGGCACCATCCAGCTGAGCACGTTCAAACAGCATTCATCGCTTACGCATCCGGCTCTACAAGTTGGAATTTTTTTGATCGAGATATGGAATTTCCCCCCAATTCAAGTCTCAGAATCGTTGCCAGAAGCTATCTTCCTACCGTCAGCACGGTTCGTCGTCAATTAACAAGCCCATCCGTAGCGGAGCCCCAAATGCCCCCTTCTCAAAGCACGGCGACGACTGCCCCTCAGAATCCGATCGTGATTGATGATCCTGTTTCTACAACCTCGAAGAGCGTGGCAGTTCTAGCCTCTATTCCAAAAGACTTGGGCAATAAGGACATTGTGTCTATCTTCCGTGAGCGGTGGAGCATAACTTTCGAAGAACTAAGCCTCGTCAACGCCCCAAAAAAAGATGGCTCGGCTCGCGCATTCTATCTTTATTTTCCACCAGAGGCAGAGGAAGAGTTCCAGCTTGTCCTAAAGTTTTTAAGAAAGTATACAAATGCTATCTTCTCAAATAGGCTCAAGGGAGATTGGGAACGTTTTGCTGAAACAGTAACTTCTGGAACTGTCCTGGTAAGTGGTCATCTGAAATGCTTCTCGTCGTCTCGTCTATTAATAGATTTATAGTTCCACCAATCCTATATCTGGTATGAGTTCATGCCTGGCCTCCATAAGCTCTTACGCAGATATGTCAATGTTTTCAACATTAGCCTTGCCAGTCCAGTAAAGCACATTGGATTCACCACCCATCTACAACGACTGTTCCCCCACGGAAGTGTGATTCTCATGACAGAGGACTACATGATTCATGAAACCGAAGCTGCTTTAAATGCGATGAAATGGTTCCGCTCACATTCTGAGAAGAAGTACCCTGGGACTTGGAAGATGTTCTTCCGACCCAACATACTAGGATGGCTGTCGAACATTTTTGATAAATGGCCCGATGATAAGTTGGTTCCCATCATCTCTCTCTATCTCCTCATCAATAAACATGAACCAGTTTCAGCTAACAAGCGTATTGTCCACAGGATGTATCAAATATATTGCATCATCGAGTACATGATTCCCGAATATCCAGAAGGCCATTACAATTGGTACAATGGCGACGGCAGTCCAGACTCCCTCGATGGAGAAACCGATGACGAGGGCCAGCATCATCCGTTTATTTCGCCCAGTTTCATTCCAGACTACGGTTCTCGCAAAGAAGATGCGCATGAAAATATTCCAAAGGGATTGAGTCAAGAAGAACGCAATATGGACCATTTAGTCGAATACTTCGCAGGCTGGGCGATATGCAACTGCGATAAATACAGGAGGTTCATCGTCCTGTCGCACCACAAGCCATTGGCAAAGTGGAAAAGGTGGCAACATGTAAGCTCTCCAGCCGTGTCTTTCATATCCATCAGCAACGTGTACTAACAAAATTGCCATACCCAGCTTGAACACATAGACACTCAAGGATTTTCCCGTCAATATATCAACAATGAGAGCAAAAAACAGTCATCTAAGACTGACCATTCCTCACGTTAGTAAAACTGCCTACCATCGCCACCACTGCCTCTCCCATCCTCCGCTTTGTAACAACATGCCAAATCTATTGCTGGCTTAAAGTGCTTCTTGTGGTTCACTCTCGCGCTATAGGGAGCTTCTATTAATCTGTTTTTGGTTCAGTATTGTATTCTAGTTGTCGCTCGATGGGTTTTTGGAGCTATACAATTGAGTGTATTTTGATGCAACTTCCCCTGACAGCATACCTTTGTGGTTCACCTAGGTCTAAATATTATTACATTTCCCATAAACTGAACCAAACAGGCAACATAGCATGCCATGCTGTCAAAGTGCACTATTCACAGAACTAAGAATGGCTAAGTTCTTATGCCTGCTACACAGAAGAAATATATGGCTGCTCGCAGAAAAGAAAATAAAAACATTAGCGCCTGATGCAGCCCTGATGCTGAAACTCCCCAACATAACCATCCCTTAAACACTGATAGTACCAAAAAGTAATGCCCATTACACATAAATATCACAAACCAAACCATAGCAAAAAAAAGAGAGCCATCATGAGAACCCTCCAACAGCAGAGCTCCGTCTCCATTCCTCAAAGCTATTTGCTTGGTCTTTTCTTTCCCGCTCGACTTTCTCCTTCTTCGCTTTCTCTTCCCATGCGCTTTCTTCCGCTGCGATCATAGCGTGGAATTTGCCTCCCTGGCCACGGGCAAGATACACAGCTTTCTCCTTCCGGGCAGCGACGGCTTCCGTGACAAGGACAAACTTCACGCTTGACCCCGGAGCTTCGAACATGGCGTCGCCAAGGATTGTCTCCATTTCCGTGCGTAGAGCACGAGCTCCGGTAGATACTGCGAAGGCGTTGGCTGCAATTTTGTGTAGCGCGGCCGTGGTGAAACGCAGCTCGATCCCAGACAGGGCGAATAAAGTAGTGTATTGGTTTACTAGGGAATTCCGTGGCTCTGTGAGGATACGTAGCAGAAGATTTTGGGATAGGGGGGATAGAGCGGTGGTTATAGGAATACGACCGACAAGCTCAGGAATGAAGCCATATGACTGTAAGTCAGGAGGGGTCAGAAGATCAAGGGGGTTGAAATATTGTGGCTCTTCTTCGGTGCCAGCAACCGAAGGGGTCTGGGAAGGTGTAAAAAAGGGGAGATGCTTCTTGTAGAGAGCTTCTTCCTCGGAACCTGGACGGATAGGTATTGGTGCGTTGTGTGAAGACCAGTTATGCGAGCTGAAAGGATTCGCGGAAGAACGAACAGGCTGGCCAAATCCCATTGACCCGCGTGATATACGATCCATAACGATCTTCTGAAGCCCTACAAATGCTCCGGAGAAGATAAAGAGGATATTGTCCGTTCGGACATTATAAACCTCAGCTTTTCCAGATGGCCCTTGAGTTGATGAAGAGAACGATGAGCCTCCGAGACTAGTACCAGGAAAGTTGGTCGGGGATCCTCCATGGCGAGGCGCGTTTTTCTCTGGCTTAGCTTGAACCTGAACTGTAGTTCCCTCGATAATCTTCAAGAGAGCTTGTTGCACGCCTTCTCCGCTGACATCTTTACCATGACTAACTTTCGCAGTAGCAATTTTATCCACTTCGTCAAGGCAAATGATGCCATGCTCTGCTTGTGCCACATCATAGTTTGCAGCAGCCAGCAATCGATGCACACAGACATCTGCATCTTCTCCAATATAGCCAGCCTGGGTGAATGGTGTGCAGTCAGACATGCTGAAAGGTACCGAGAGCACACGTGCTAGCGTCTTCGCCATGAGAGTTTTGCCAACCCCTGACGGTCCTAATAACAAGATGTTGGATTTTTCCAGCATGAGAGGAGTTGTATCAACGAGACTATCAGTCCCTGGCGGTGAAAGGTCATCACTATATTCACAAGGCGGGAGAGAAATGGTCCGCTGCTGACCTGGGAATTCAGCTGTAAACCGAAACCCATTAGCACATTAACAGCAATCAAGTGGTACTACAAGACAGGGAAAACAATGGCAGATTAAAACCACGCACACTCCAGAGGGTGGCCTTCTACAGCTTCCCTCCTCGCCTGTCGTGCCAGGAACGCCTCGTGCTCTTCAGCTCTTCTCTGCAGCTCCTGGACTCTTTGGTAATGATTGTAGACGGCGACGCTTAGAACCTTTTTAGCTCTATCCTGGCCAACAACAAACTGGTCCAAATGCTGCTTTAGCATCTTGGGGGTCAACCGTGGAGCGCCAAAGGATGGCGCGGAGCCCAGCGGGCCAGAGGTGGGGAGCCCCGTCTCATAGCTGCCGGTAAACGGTTGTCCTGTAAAATCAGAGCGGTGGAACTGAGAGGACCGAGAAGAGCTTGTTGATATCCTGCGTCTGACTGAGTAGAGGGCGAGGTACGAAGAACGGGCTTTGCGGGAAGTTGAGGTGATCGCAGTCAGACTCATGTCCGATGGCGCGAGTGGAGCGTTGAATGGGAAGAGTAACTTCATCAAGTAGAACAAAGAGTCTAGCAAGCAATTAGCGGTGCGCGAGTCTCACGCAGGCCTCTATGGCATTCCAATGAAGAGCAATTGACAATTGCAACCGGCGGCGAGTTGCAGCACCAGACCAGTCAACCCGGAGTTGGGGTAAGTCCCAGCCCGGTGATTGCCATTTCCCCGCACTCCAGAGCGAACACGCACGTGATCGGAGCGCTATCCATCAAGCGGGCAGATCAACCGCGCAGGCTTCGGCACGATCTGAGCATGCAGAATGGCTGGGGGATCGTTGACTACGGGCATGGGGCACGGGGTAGATGGCTGAGAATGGGCCAGCAGGCCGAACTTGGTCACTATTTGAGCTCTTATTGATTAAATGAAGTTATCCGGTCTATTAAAGCAATGCAAATTTTCCGAAAGGAAGGGCTTGATGTGCAAGCCAAAGTGACAAAGCCCGTGTTGACATCCAAGTTTAACGCAATCAGGCTGAATGGTTTTACTCTTTCAGTCACGCCATCGCACCCGGCATAATCCGTACTCGTCCCAGTCCTCGCTTCCTACACCCGAGCGAACAATGAAAAGACCTTTCGGGTCCCATTTCTTCTTCAGCTCATATAGTCGCGGATAATTCTCGCCCCAGAAGCTCTCCTGGAAATCCTTTTCGTACGGGTCTGCTTCATTGGTGTACGCACCCATGTCTGGTTCTAGTTTCTTGAACATCGGAACTTCGACGTTCGTCACGTTGGATTGAATAGCACGCTGCTCCGCAAAAGTGGTTTTCTTGTCCCAGCCACGGACGAAAATCAGGTGCACAAGCGCCCGCCTCCAGGCAGGATTGAGAGAAACTTTCACGTCTTTGTTCTTAGCAACCTGGCCTCCGGCGACGAAATTGCCGAGTATTTGGGCGCCAGAGTCATGTTTTAGCTTCTTCAGCACAGACACCAAGTCAGAAGGCCCGGTTTGGCCTTCGAGAAACTTGCGAGATACCAGCCTTGATCCGAGGGTAGCTGCAACTCCCGTCTGGTCTGACCCCTCGACTAGCCCCTCCAGGACATATTTTGATCCGGGGAGCTGCTCAGATGCATAGCTCACTTCGAGGCCCGGTATATTGCCTAGGGATGACAATAGCGGTGCAAACGCCTCGTCGATTTTGGCGGTATCATCATTATTTGCGAAGAAAAAGATAGCGCCCGCGCCGGCAGCCTGTCCAATCCCGGGGACCTGAACATTCGGGACCATGAAATAATAACCAGAGCCTCCCTCATCGCTCAAAGCAGGGAGGCGAGCATGGAGCCTTTCTATTCCATCCCAATACGAATCATTCGCGTTACCCAACTGAGTTATATTCAAAGTCGCAGAAACAAGGGGTGCATCTGTAAATGTTCTCAGAGTCACGTCGGTCACCACACCAAAAGTACCGCCTCCTCCACCCCTGAGAGCCCAAAATAAGTCCTGGTTCTGATAGTCGTTGGCTGTGATGTGTTCCCCCTATTCCCATCTTCTAATGTTAGCGAACCGTACCCTAACGCACTGCATCCCGTTTGAGAATTACTTGCCTTTGCTGTCACCACGTTGAATTCAAGCACATTATCCACAGCCATTCCTTTCCACGGCCCCAAAGCTGAATGTCCGCCGCCCTGGATATACCCACCAGCGGCTCCCACGGTGTGAGCGAAGCCCGCAACCACAACTTTGTTTTCCTTTGTTGTCGCCTTATACAATTCCGAAAGCTGCACGCCAGCGCCAATTGTAACTGCAGACCCAACAGCCCGCCGATCCCTTTTGCCCTTGGGCACAAACTCATCTGTGAATTTAATATCCTTCATCTGGTGGGTAAATATTTGGAGGGACTCGGGTGCCACCGAACGTCCAAGGAAACAATGCCCAGTGTTCTTCACCGCAAGTCGAAGATTATGCGTAGCAGCAAACCGCACGGCGTTCTGAACATGTTTGGGCGTGTGGACCGCAGCGGAGTACTCTGAGATCTGGCCCTGACCACATGGAGTCTTTCGATCCATATCAATGTAGCACTTTTCCTCCTTTTCTGGCCATGTCTCCCAGTTTATATACTGTACTGCACCGGGCACTTGGGATCGCCACACTGAATCTTGTTGCATTGCCGTTATTTTTGCGCACGCATTTTCGTCGAAAGTCGGGTCATGGCATACGTTCCCGACGGGCTTGAGCGCAACGAGATTTCCATCAATGGATTCGTTCAGAGCTTTCCATCTCGCTGCCGAGGGCCAGCACCCGTCCGAAGGAGTACAGCGACAGTGGGAGCGACTGGGCACTGCATGCACTGCTCCTAGGAATGAAAACGAAAATGCAGTAATATGTATAAATGTTTTCATCGTAGGCAGTATCGAGGTTCAACGATAATCAAATCGATGCCACGCAATCAACAAAGATATCGACAGAGCGAGGACTTGCAGACCATCATCTCGATATCAGCCGGCGGGAGCTGCTTTATTACGGCTTTTGAAGGCATCATCTTTTCGGCCTGCTCGCCATTGCATCGACAAAATCGCTATCTCAAGTCGGCAAGATCTCGTATAGCGCGGAGCCCTGCTGAACCACTGCATGGGACTATTTGGCACCTCTGGACGATTCATCTTTGGACATTAAAAAAAAAAAAAAAAAAAAGTCACGTCCACTCAGGAAAGAGAGAAAACGAAGCGTCTCACCAGCCTCGCCCATGGCCTTGTGATCTCCACTTTCAGCTCTTCAAAGTTGCTCGAATCAGATGATAGCCCCGAGTAAGGTTCGGGTTCCAGTCAGGAGGCTGTGCCGATCAGATACGGCCCGTTTTTGCGCAACTTCTAAGCCTCTAAAGGATCGACTGCCATGCAGCAGACGGAGTAACCAGAAACGTTCATTTCGGCGAGAATCTGCTTCGAGCTAAAATGCTACTTTATGTACGCAGCATCTCCTCAGCTTTTCTGCTTGGACCTACGATAGCAAAACACGTAATCATCTCACCAAGCCATGCTCGAAATTGTCAAAACACTCAACCTGGAGGGAATTCCAAATCTTTTACGTAAAGTTAGGTCTGTTCTGAGTATGAAGGCGTGCCTTGATCGTGCGTAAGGCTGACAGCTCAGTTCAGTTCCATTGTACTGTACTCCGTACAGTCCATGTCAATCTCCGGGAATTCACCCTCATCAGCCTCGGAAATGGCAACAAAAGAATACGCCGTGGAGTGGACGAGGAAACATGATCTCTTGATTCGTTTACAAATGAAATGAAAGCGGAGCACCCGGTGTACTGACACATATACAAAAAGGAACAGATGAAGCTCAGATTAAAATAACACGCGGGGACAACCCCAAGAGGCAATGGCACATGATTTTATATCTACATGGTTAGCACTTATGAAGATTTCTCGAGTTCAGCCAAGATCTTCTCTCCCTTCGCGCGAGCAGATTCGAAGTCACCGACCATGTAGAAAGCAGCTGTAAAACATGTCAATACCATCGAAAGCTCAAGGATAAATAGATAATTGGTGTTAACTTACCCTCTGGAAGGTCATCACCCTCGCCGTTGATGATGGCCTTGAAGCTTCGGATGGTATCCTTCAAATCGACGAGCTTACCCTCAATACCAGTGAAGACCTGGGCGACAGCGAAAGGCTGGCTGAGGAAACGCTGGAGTTTACGAGCACGCTCGACAGTGAGCTTATCGGCTTCAGACAATTCGTCCATACCCAAAATAGCAATGATATCCTGGAGGGACTTGTACTCCTGAATCATTTGCTGCACGCGAGTAGCGACCTGGTAGTGCTCATCACCGACGATACGGGGGTCAAGCATGCGGGATTTAGAGTCGAGAGGGTCGACTGCAGGATAGATACCCAATTCAGAGATACCACGAGACAAGACAGTAGTGGCGTCCAAATGGGCGAAGGTAGTGGCAGGAGCAGGATCAGTCAAGTCATCAGCTGGGACATAGACGGCCTGCACTGAAGTAATGGATCCCTTGGTGGTGGTGGTGATACGTTCCTGCATAACACCCATGTCGACGGCGAGAGTAGGTTGGTAACCGACAGCGGAAGGAATACGACCGAGCAAGGCAGACACTTCAGAACCAGCTTGAGTGAAACGGAAAATGTTGTCAATAAAGAGAAGCACTAGAAAAGCGATTAGCCTCCTGTATCACACGCCCCTAGCGATAGAAGCATGAAGCCTACCGTCTTGGCCTTCCTCGTCACGGAAGTATTCAGCAATGGTCAAACCGGTAAGGGCAACACGGGCACGGGCACCAGGGGGCTCGTTCATTTGACCGAAGACAAGAGCGACCTTGGACTCTCCGTCGAGTTGAATGACACGGGTCTCTTGCATTTCATGGTACAAATCGTTACCCTCACGGGTACGCTCACCGACACCAGTGAACACGGAGTAACCACCGTGAGCCTTAGCAATGTTGTTCTAGAGCATATCAGCAACCGCTGTCGGCTTTAGTTGATAACAGAACTTACAATCAATTCCTGAATGAACACAGTCTTGCCGACACCAGCACCACCGAAAAGACCAATCTTTCCACCACGGGCATATGGAGCAAGCAAGTCGACGACCTTGATACCAGTGACGAGAATTTCGGCGGTTGTAGATTGCTCGACGAACTCTGGTGCCTCAGCGTGGATGGGAGCCATCTTGACACCCTTGATAGGGCCACGCTCATCAATTGGGTCACCGGTGACGTTCATGATACGACCGAGAGTGCCAGGGCCGACGGGAATTTGGATTGGGGCACCAGTATCGACAGCCTTGGCGCCACGGACGAGACCCTCGGTACCTAAAGTCACATATTAGACACTCCGACGCAGAGGGAAATTGAAGGTTCGGAGTAAAATTTACCGTCCATAGCAATTGTTCTCACGACATTTTCACCCAAATGTTGCTAGATAGTGCTGTCAGCAAGTTGTGTTGCAAGGCTGTCTGAGTTGTTTCGGCCAGGTAACATACCGCGACTTCCAAAACAAGTCTTTGACCACCGTTCTCCGTTTCGAGGGCGTTGAGAATTGGGGGAAGTTGTTCAGTGTCGAATTTCACTATAGATCTCATCAGTGTCCTGAAGGTACAATGCCGCTGACCACATTGCAATGGAAAATGTCCAGAATTTTCCGATCGAGGGTCGCATCGAGATCGATGAAAAGATTTTTTCCACGGCAAAATTGGGGGCATGACGTACCGTCGACGACGGCACCAATGACCTGATGAATCTTGCCAGTCTTGCCGGCTTCAGTGCTGGCATATCTGGCAGAGAGAGCTCTCAGAGCATTGTTGCCAACGGCAGATCTAGTGGATGAAAGGATTGTGGAGGCAGGTCGTGCGAAAGCAGACCTTCCGAAGGTCCGGGCAACGCCGCTAGAGAGAGGAATTGGAATTAGCAAAGAGAATCTATGGCATTATAATATTCTCCGTAGTCAATTGAGCCTACTGCTTACCTCTTAAACATGATGGCGGTTGTGAAGGAGAAGGGGGATTGTTGAAGGGAAAGGAAGAGGTGAGGTTGAGAGAAAGCGAGAGAAAGCTGTGCTCAATTCGGGTGTTGGTTGCGGTTAAGATACAGCTAAGTGTACTGAACTTGAATTTCACGTATTAATGTGACGTTGTTACCATAACCTGCGCCTGCAAATCTGCTTGTCTGCAGAACTTTGCCGAGGATGTCGCTTATGGCCTGTACGAACCGTGGAAATAACAATACAATGAAATACAGGAAACAGGGCACTAAGAACATCAACCCCAAATTCCAAAGGGTATTCGTGGTCCGAAATTGGGAGACAACAACAGCAACAAAATCCGAGGCGCTCCACCCGAGAAACTGCAATATAATTTTCCTCTCACTTCTTGATCGCCCCCCCGCAACAAACAGCACCTACGACAACAATCACCACTGTGCCCTTCCCTTCCCACCGACCACAAGGCCTGTACTATTTATAAATACTAGAAATAAAAAAGCTCATAAAATTCCTTTTATTTCAGACCTCGGTCAACACGTCAACGACGGCTGTGAGGATACGAAAGCTCTGCTCTAAAGAGAGCTTTCAAGCGCAAGGACCTTTAATCGCTCAAATTAGATCATGTTGAAATAAACAGCAAAAATAATATATCAAAATACTTACCACTGCGGTCCGCGAAGGGATGTACACTTGCACATAGTTCTTGCGTCCATTCCACGCCTCGCCAGTGGTGAAGAATCTTGTATCCTTCGCGTTGCGGTTGAACCCGCCAAACTCGCAATCATCGGTGTCGATAACGATCCGATATGTGCCTGGCTGTTCAACCCCGACTCGATAGTCCGCAAAGCTTTTGGTTGGATTGAAGTTGAACACCCATAGCAACCCTGCCCGCTCGAACACAATGACTTTATCCTCCTCGTGTTTGAGGCTAATATATGCTTGCGGTGCATGGAGCCATCCATATTTCTCTTCGGTCAACTGCATCTTGCGATCGAACTCGTTGAGAAATTTGTAACGCAGAAGACTATCCTCGGTCAGGTTCAATAACCTCCGAGCATACCAGAAGCTATTGTTATTTCCAGCACGGGGAAAGTCAAGCCATTCAGGATGGCCAAACTCGTTTCCTTCAAAATTCAGATACCCTTCGCCTCCGAGGCTGTGTGTGAGCAGGCGAATCATTTTGTGAAGACTCATGCCGCGCTCAATTATAGGCGTGTACTCTGTTAATACTGACATATTTGTGTACATTTCCTTGTCGCAAAGCCACATCATCAGCGTCTTATCACCCACCAGCCTATGTATGAAGTGTTAGTCCACAAAGTGCTTCCCCTGTCCGGTAAGGGGCGACTTACGCCTGGTCGTGGCTTTCAGCGTATGCTATTGTTTTTTCTCCGTGGCGGCGATTTGTCAGAGTAAAAGCGAGATTGCCCATATCCCACTCTTCATCTCGTTTCTCCTTCAGAAGCTTGATGTACATGTCAGGAATTGCCATCGCCAGCCGGTAGTCAAACCCAACACCTCCGAGAGAAAATGGCAAACACAGCGCCGGCATTCCTGATACATCCTCTGCCACCGTGATGCAGTTCGGGTAGAGTTGGTGGAGCATTTCGTTTGCCAGCATGAGATATGTTAAGCCATCTTCGTCGACGGCCGGCCCGAAATATTCATGGTAACCACCAGAGAATCCACTAGGTGCAGTGTCATTAGACTTTTACAAAAACAAGCTAAAGCAATTCGATAGTATCCCTTACGTTCCAATCCCATGATGTGTATAGAGCATACTTGTGACACCGTCAAAGCGGAAGCCATCGAATTGATATTCTTCCATCCAGAAGCGCAAATTGCTTAAGAGGAATCGAAGAACTTCATGATGCCCATAGTTGAATAGACGGCTGTCCCAAAGATCATGGTTCCCTTTCGGTCCAGAATGAAAATAGAGGTGATCGGTCCCATCAAACATATTCAACCCATCTAGGACATTTTTTGACGCATGGCTGTGAACCACGTCGAGAAGAACGACTAATCCCAGTTCATGGGCAGTATCTATAAGCTCTTTCAAATCTTCGGGATTCCCGTATCGACTACTTGCGGCAAAGAAGTTGTTGACCTGGTATCCAAAGCTAGCATAATATGCATGCTCCATGATTGCCATCAGCTGAATCGCATTATAGCCAAGGTATTTAATACGCGGCAACATCTTCTCCGTGAAGTTCTTGTAGGTTGCAACGGCCGGTTCTGGTGAAGATATACCGACATGAGCCTCATATATTCTCAAGCTCTCCGGTTTCTTAAGCCGGGGATGCTTAAATTGGTATTTGTCTTCACCAGGAGGGTTCCAAAATAGCCCTTCGTAGACAGGTGAGACATCAAGGTCCTGGACGACTCTCTTGATCCATGCTGGGATGCGGTCAATATGCTCCCCGTCAGGGGTCATCATCGTGATCTAGTAGGCGAACCTGTGAATCTGGCTCCATTCTTCAAAAATAAGCCCAACGATACCTTTATCACTTACCTTAATTTTGCTTTCATGTGGTATTGCCGGAACTCCATTGCGCGCGGGGACGGTGACCTCCCACACCCCAAAGGCATCTTTCTTCATCGGCGTCGCCGTACGATTCCAGTTATCTAGGAAACATCAGTTTAATTTGAGACGAAGCATGAGATGCATTTGTCACGTACTGAAATCCCCAATGAGATGAGCATCAGTAGCATTTGGCGCCCATTCCCGGTAGACTATATCACCATTGCTTTGCACATTCAGCCCGAGTCTCTCATATCCCTAGTCCGATGGCATATCAGTAAGCGTTCAAGACAGTATAGAGCGAATTAAGGCGAAAGTCATTTTATACTTTGCTAAACCTATCAAGTCCACCCTCCAGCCTATTTATCTTCTCAATCCACTCTGTTGTACGCTTGTACCTGTTCTTTAGCGCGTCTTCATAGGGTCGTAGGTACGGATCTATATCGATAACCCCTACACCTTGCTATGTAAGTTGACAGCCGACAACCTAAACCACAAACAACAAACAATGAGAGATTTTTAGAAATCTAAGTGAAATCGCTGACCTGTTCCATCTATGGTCTTGCTTGTTTCATTGGCCATGGCTGATCGATTGACTGACGTTGGACCGCCGGGGGGTTCTTCTATGTAGCTGGATCTTCAGACCCTCCACAGCATTGAGATAAACTATGATTAAAAATGTTGCTCGTAAAACCACAAATTTGATGTAGATATAATTGGGAAAAGTAATGGAAGTCCCATTTGAAGGTTCAACGCAGGTATCGAAGCTCAATCGTTGTTCCCACTGTTTGTTGCACGTCGTGCCGATTCTGGGCCGTGTCACTGGACCTGGACGTCATCGTTGGCCATCATCCTGGAAACATTGATACGTAGAAAAGTCCATTTTTCACGACTATTTATCCCCCAACTATATATCCGCAACCATCCCGTTTGCTTCATAACCTCGGGATCATGTATTTCTGCATATTATTTGCCACCTTTTGAGCTACTTTTTGCACACATACTTTGACCATTGCTCACTGCTCTGGCAGTCTGCACCAAAGTTAACGTATTACTTTTCCACATAGACCGATAGGCTATCGTGGCTCCTTAAGTTTAAACTCAAATTCAAATGCGATTTTATCCTATTTTATACATGTACAGGTTAAAACCAAAGAAATGAGAGAAAAGGAACCCAACTTTGGTAGGTAAGGGAAATGAGAATCGCAAAGAGGGAAGACTCGGAACCAGGGAAACAACAGGGTCCAGTGTTGCAGAATACAGGGCGACCTCTAAAGGTTGGTCTGGGAGGTCAGCCGCTGGATGTGGAGATTTCTTAAAAGTACACAATGTTTCCCATTGATTAATACATGGTTCCTGAACTGGACAAAGAAAAGGTCTTGGAGGTTGCATAATAGCAGTAAATACACGCACTGAGAAATTGCATGCAATGATGTGTCCCATCGCGCAAATCTTTGACATGCATCCTCCACGTCTCTTCCCATCCCTGTCTTCGAGCGATCGTGGAGGCATGCCCTTCACATGCAAGGTTGAGTTCTCTATTGCTTGGGGGCTGGTGGACTCTGAATAAAGCCCTTGCCCTGGTATCCTGCACTGCTAATGCCGGTGATAGGTTCCAATTTCTCTTTCTGTTGGGTGCATCAGGCATTAGTAGCCTAATCAACAAAAACAAGCAAAGAATATTACGTACCAGGGCATATTCGTTAGTAGCTTCCTGCCACTCCTTGCTCATGGTCTTGGGAGCAGGGCCAGCAGCCATGCGAATGGCATAGAAGACACCAAATGAAATAAGCATGTACTTGGCGACTTGAATGAAGACCTTCATTCCCTCGCCCTTGGGGGTTTCGGCACGCGGACCATGGGGTCCGAAAGCGATCCAGTACGCTATTTCAAATATCAGCTATGCCAAAGCCAAAACCAATGCCTCATGCCAACGACGGCGATTGGGCACGACGGGTGGACACCGCAGTAGGTCTCAAATGTGCTGTTACTAGGGACGGTAAAAGAAATCCCGGCCAATTTGATAAAGAGCCGGGTGATGTAGAAGCCACATACCGGCCTTCTTCTCTTGCAGAGTCATCTCATGCCAGTCCACCTTCATCCGATCTCTCAATTGCATCCACAACTCTGCCTGTTCCTGTGGAGGCATGGCTTCCCATCGCTTCTCGATTCCAGCAAGGGTAGGGTTGGCAATGGCGTGCTCAGAAGACGAGGCAGCGCGGGTCTGTTGCTGCGTTATGCCGGCGGCTTGGGCGGTCTGAGAAACGCGGGCGTAAAGGCAGGAAGGAGAGGATCGTACGGATCCAGCGCCACGAGCAGAGGCCGCAATGGACCTGGAGGCGGCTCTAAAATACATGTCGACGGAGGACTGGCAGACACGGAGAGGAGAAAGGGGGAATTGGCGCAAATGAAGTTATTTACAGGTGTTGTGCTCCTGGGATCAAAGGACGGTCACCGCATTAGAAGTCAATTGGAAGTTTGGTGGTGTGAGTTCTCTTGTCTTGATGCAGTCTTTCTGTGGAAGGCTTCCGAGATGACTAAGCCCACCAGCTAATACTGGCCCAATGATTGGCCAGTTGGCTTTGTTCCGGAACGCCGCCAACATTGCCAGGCCTGCAACAATACGTACTCCGTACTCCGTACTCCGTATGGGCATATATCCATACCTAATGGAATTGCTGACCAGGAATGTGATTTACCAGAGAGCCCGAGTAATGCTAGTGATGTTTGTTCTGAAATGTATGCTAAGATTCCTTCACGGTAAAGCTTGGTTTGTGCCTAGAACCCTAGTGGGTTGCGACGTCGTAATGGGATGCCCTGTTGCGGAATTCTACGGGAGGCCAACCTTGATTTCAGTAGCGCCATGAAAAACGCAACGATTCATTATTGGAGTAATCGATCAGCAGAGAGACCAAAATATTAATTAATAACATTCCACATTCCGACGAATATTGAGAAGTTCTGAGCTATTTGTAAGTCTTCAACTTGGAACTAATATCTGCGGTATGTTTGAAATGTGATTCAGTTGATTCAAATCACAGCCGCTGGCAATGACAACGCCGCTGAAGAGCCCAATCAATCCCAGCACCATCAACCAATTCACGCAATGCTTAAAGCCTTGTCCAGCCGATACGAACAGCAAGCCTTTTCCTAACAGTAGTATCTACCTTTCGACACCGGGCTTGCCTATTTGGTAGCCATGCCGCCGCTCGCCTCGGTGAGCACGTTCTTCCATTCAAGCTCGGCCTTGTCGTCTGCGTGGATGCTTGTGTGCGGGTTAAGGGCGTTTTTCAAAGTTTGTCGGCTAGTCGCGTAAAGCATTGACCACTTGATTCTATATCAGCAAGGCGTCCACCAAGTATATTATAGTAGGATATACTTACGAACGTTGGCGTTTCACTCGGCACCCATGAGATGAAGACAATTTTGCTTCTAGAGAAAAGAGCCAGTGAGATTAATAGGTAGCGTCTCAATATCAAACCGGGAGCGAACATACCGCTTGCCCTCTCCCCCTTCAAGCTCAAATTCTACATCATAAACAGCGTATCTTGGAGCCGGGTTTCCTTTCGAATCTTTCGCGCCCTCGAGCTTCTCACGGAAAATCTCGTAGTCTGGCTCCTTTGAGGCCTCCTCCACAACAATTTCTCGTCGGTTATCAGCGATCTTAAAGATGATGAACTTTGTCTTTCCTCGACCGAGCCGCAGTTCGTTGAAAGCACTGATGCAATCTGGGTTTATGGAGACACTGTAGGACTCATGCAGTCATGGTCAGCGCAATGCAGCAAGTAATCATTCCTTTTTTCGACTTATTCAGCCGGCGGCAACCGTAAGAATATGTAGAACTTGTAAACCTACCCCGAATCGACCTATAGGAGGATGCATTAGTCGACGAGCGCTTGACACTTGACCCAAAGGAACACGATTGTATATACTTACCGACATGATGTGTGATAATTCTTAATCGAATTTCTAATGAAACAATACTGAGGAAGCTGCTGAGTCGATGAACCCGAGGTCAGCACGGAGTCCACTGGATAATATCGGGTGCGGTTCAGGACTTGGGAGGACAGGGGCTGATAATCTTGCGGGTGGCCAAGCTCTTCAGCGGGGTACCGAGCACTCAAGACACCGAGAGGAGAGTACCAGCGACAGATCGACTTACCTGATCAAACGAAGAAAACTGCAGGAGAGGTGATGATGTGCGAAGAGGATCTGTTGTGTTGATGGAAGATATTGGTCTAAACAAGTTGAAGTACGGAGTAGTTCATGAGGCAACCCAATAAAAAATAGCGGGGCTGAGTCGTAAGGTTTGGTGGGGGGCAACTGGACGTTACGCACTCGGGAATTTCTCTCACTGGGAAAAGAGAACTTCGGTCGCCGGGACGACGTATGAATGGAATGTCCTCCAGATGCACGCCAGACATTCATTGCTGACTGTCCGCGGCCTGTGAGTATTCAACCAGGCACCACTTTAATCCAGGCACCCAACATTTTGACAAGCCTTGGAATCCAAGTGAGGTCATCACCTCCCTTCATACAATTTATGATACTTGGGTGACATTGCGCGGCCAATTTGCTTCCCTCATTGCGATACCAGCTTCAAAGGGAAAGCACCTAGAAGGCTACCAAGCCAGCTATTTTGGGCCAAATGCTTCGTATCTCCAAGATTCAAGCTCCTGGCATCTTTTCTCGCTATTTGTCAGTGTGAGACTTGATCGCGTGGGCATGGGTTTCTCCCAGCCCTAACGTCCAGCGCTCTCCTAGGGGTCGTAGATTAGAAAATTGAGAAATATATTTCATAACCCGGAGCTGATAATTTACAGTACATTGCTTTATTTCATTCAGAGAGCCCTTCGGAGACCACTACTTCTTCCACTTCCTTCTCCTCCTACGCCGTTCAAAGATGTATAAAACAAATCCCCACACTAAACTCCAACGAAGTAGGGTACAAGGTACTTAACGCAGACCTTTCTCGCAGTGGCATCCTTCCTTCCCAAATATTTTGCCTATGCCAGAACTGAGAAAAGGGGAATTTTGGGACACGGAAGTGATGTGGGACTTGTGAATGGTTGGTCATGGAGTGGGGTGGTTCGTTCCACCGGAAATTGCGGTACCCCCGAGCGGTCGGGTCGCTTGAAGGCACGACGAAATTCCGGGGAATAGATTCGGAATTGAGGAAAAAGAACTGGACGCAGAAAAATGATATAGAGATATAAACACATAGGCAAGAAGGGAGGAGCTAAATTAGTATTTTAAAACATCCAATGCGAACAAAAAAAAAAAAAAATGCACGTTTACCGTAAATCTGTGAGCCTCTTAGTACATACCGCCCATTCCTCCCATGCCGCCCATGCCGCCCATACCAGCAGCAGCGGGCGCCTTCTCCTCAGGAGCTTCAACGATTGCGACCTCGGTGGTACCGAGTAGGGATGCAACACCACTGGCATCGACAAGAGCGGTGCGAACAACCTTCAATGGGTCGACAATTCCAGCCCCAATCATATCAACGTACTCTCCCTTGGCGCTATCGAAGCCTCTATTGAAATCTCCCGCAAATTCATCTGTAAGCTTGCCCACAATGACGCTACCCTCCAACCCAGCATTCTCAACAATAGTACGAGCAGGTCTCTGGATGGCACTCTTAACAATGCTGACACCCAGCTGCTGGTCAAAGTTGGCTGGCTTGACGTCTTTCAAACCATTGGCGGAAGCCTTGAGCAAGGCGGTACCTCCGCCAGGGAGAATACCCTCCTCAACAGCAGCGCGGGTAGCGTTCAGGGCATCAACAACACGGTCCTTCTTCTCTCCAACTTCAACTTCAGAAGCACCGCCGACCTTGATGACAGCAACACCACCAGAGAGTTTAGCTAGACGCTCCTGAAGCTTCTCCTTCTCGTATTCGGAGGTGGCAGGATCAGCAATGATGCTTCTAATTTGCTCGCACCTCTGAGCAATGGCATCCTTGCTGCCCTCACCGTTCAGGATAATAGTGTCCTCCTTGGTGATGGTGATGGAGCCCGTGGAGCCGAGCATATCTGGGGTAGCCTTGTCAAGCTTCATATCAAGCTCATCTGTGAACACGGTAGAGTTGGTCAAGATACCAATGTCACCAAGGATGCTCTTGCGGTTATCACCGAAGCCAGGAGCCTTGACGGCAGCGACTTGAAGTTGGCCACGCAGTTTATTGAGAATGCAGACTGCGAGAGCCTCGCCCTCAATATCCTCAGCAATGATAACTAGTGGTCGGCGGAGGGTGGTAGAGGCCTCAAGGGCGGGGATAATATCCTGGACGGCAGAGATCTTCTTCTCAGAGAGGAGAATAAGAGGCTTTTCAAACTCAACCTTCTGAGTTTTGGTATCGGTGATAAAGTAAGGGGAAACATAGCCGCGGTCAAATCGCATGCCCTCGGTAACCTCAAGCTCGTCTTCAATGGTCTTTCCGTCCTTAACCGTAATCACACCTTCCTTTCCAACTCTTTCCATTGCGTTGGAGATCAACTTTCCGATATGGGTGTCCCCGTTAGCAGAGATCGTAGCCACCTGCGCAATCTCTTCGCTGGTGGTGATCTCTCTCTTATTTGCTTGAAGATATTCGACGACGGAGTCAACGGCGGCCTGAATGCCTCTTCTCAAGTCCATTGGGTTGCAGCCAGCAGCAACATTCTTGACGGTCTCGGAAAAGATAGCACGTGCAAGCACGGTCGCCGTTGTCGTTCCATCACCAGCAATTTCGTTTGTCTTGGAAGCAACGTCTTGGAGAAGACGGGCGCCGAGATTCTCGAATTTGTCTTGCAATGAGATAGCTTTGGCAACCGTGACACCGTCTATATTTGGAGTTAGCTATCCGCGGTAAGTGAGAGTATCGCGCAAATTGACGGCATACCTTTAGTAATTTTTGGGGAGCCGTATGAAGACTCAATCAAAACATTCCTTCCCTTGGGACCCAATGTGGTGGTAACAGCTTTGGCCAGCGTGTCGACACCCTTGAGGAGGGCTGCACGTCCTTCAACGCCGAATTTGAGTTCCTATAAACAATGATCGGTTAGAGTCAAACCAGTAAGGACTTTTTCCGACGAATGATAAAAACAAAAGCAGGAGCAAAGCTGACCTTGTGAGCATATCTTTGCTGCTGGAGGTTCAGCCCGGAGGACAAGGCAGGTCTGAAATGAGATAGCTGTCCGCGCGTGGAAGCAGCGGAAGAAAGGACCGAAGCCCTTGAGGAAGCTGAGAGAGCTCTATGCATCTTGAATGAGTAACGACTAAGTTATGGAAACGACGGAATCAGCCCCAATTGTCCTAAACTCCGATAATATAAGACAATACGAAGCGTGGATAGGATACAATTACAAGAACTGGCGTGGAGAAGGGAGGGAAGAAGAGGTTTTGAGGATTGGCTGCGGGAAAAAAAAAAAAAAAAATTGGGGAGAGATTCGAGCAACTTCTCCATGTTCTTGGCGGTTTCGCGCTAACTCGGATAGGCTTAGGTAATCCGCCTTTCCCAGGGTTGGGAGCTTCCAAAATAGGGTGGTCACATGATATTTAATAAGCTCCAGTGTCATGTGACTCTTCTTTCACGTGTGGGCCAACATCACATCACTCCTCGCCTACATTTGGGGACAACCGGCCTCAGGATGAAGATGAGGACAGGAGAATGAAGGGCGAAAGCTGATTCACAGCTGGGAATACACAATCTATCTAATGTTTGGTGTTTTAATTTACTTTGGCTCTGGATCCCTTTTCCAATCGGAGCTTTCGCAGCGAGCTACGAGTTTACATGAACCTGCGGGCAAGCAGCTTGAAGACTCTGTGCAATTGAATTCTAAACCTGGGCATAAAGACGATCGAGACTACAGTCAACTGCAGTGAGACGTGCAAGAGAAACTGAGCTGCACTTTTGCTATGCAATCTTCGTCATGCTAACCAATGCCCTCTGTACGCAACTCTCTTTGTCCGCGACCGTCTAACCAACCCATGCTTTTGATAGATACGCGGTGTAGTAAGAAGCAAAGAGATGATAACAGGGTGATATGTTCCAAAGGCTGCTCATAGCAAATGCTGTCCTAGGTAAACTCACTTCATAACGTGAAAGCAGAAAAGAATTTGAAAGACTCGCATAAGAGATACAGGGCTAATTGATACTTTATGAAGTAGGTTTTTCAAGAACCAAGGGGTTCGCCATCGAAGAATTGCGTTTGTCTCGTCGCCCAATACCTTTCTTCAGCTTCTTCTTTTTGGAATTTGAATTTATCTTCCTTTCCATTTGCTACCGGAATCAATGATGACTCATTGGGTCAAGTATTCGGGACTAATGAACTCTGCGACGTCAAAGTTATCTTCCGTTTCTAGGAGTCTATTGTTAGGGGCTGACGAATCCATCAACCAGCTAAACGAATCATTCTGAGGGGACCCCAATCCTGGATTCTGGACCGTCGAGAGCGGCCGGTTAGTCAGACCGGGGAGATACATGTCTGAGAATGCCGTGTTATAATATCCTGGGTTATAGAACTGAAGCAAATCGTCGTTTGTCTGAAGAGGCTGAGTGGATACTCCGACGGAATCCTGGGTGCATGTACATTCCGTAGGGATTTCGAAATGTTGGGCTCCAATCTGCAAGAAACTCTCTGTATCCATTGCATCTGTTTCCATTAGAAGCATTTGCTGGGTACAAGGCATGTCTTGATAAGTTTCATCACTGTCGGCAACAGTTTCATCTTGTCCTAAAGAGGCTTGAGCTTCCTGTTGCCCAGCCCTGTGCTTGTCAATCACTCTGCTCTCCTTCATGAGAAGTTTTTCTAAACGCCATGGTGAAATGCGGAGTGTAACTATGCTGGAATCCAGAGCCTTTCTTTTCCTTCCACCTACCACATTATTGGCGCTGCCAGCAGTTTTGTCAATTCCTGCAAACTCCAGAAAACTTGCCCCAGCAGCAATGGAATCATCACTTGGGTGAGGTTGACCAATCTCCCCTACAGAGCTGGGAGAGGAATCCACCCTGTTCCTGGTGGAAGTAACATCGCTTTTCTGGCGCTCCGTGTTTGGATATACTTTCATTTCTGGCTCCTGGGATTTAGTCGCATCATCATCCGTGGAAGTTGCTTTTGTGGTGCTGGTGGCTTTCGAAGAGCCTTTCTTCTTTGCGGCCCCCGAACCTCCTCGACGAAGAGGAGGTGGGACACGGATACCTTCTTCTTCCATGCGTGCGCGCAATTTTGCGAGGTGCTGAACAATAGCTCCTTCGGTAATGTTGTTGCCCATGAGCGTGGCTACATTCCCCCATGGAATTTTGATTCCAGCTGCATTACAGGCATACTGGATTGAGAGAAGCAGTTGCTTATCAAGTTCGTCTAGGAATTTTGTTAGCTTTGTTCGTTGCGCAAGAGGATTCAGAAAGGGGAAGTTCATACCATTCCAGCGAACAATAGTACGGGTTGTTGGTCGCTGCTTGGGAGTCTTCACTTGTGGTTTGGCTTGTGATCCAGATGAGGATGTGCCATTTTCGGTGGCATTCTTCTTGGAACTTTTTGCCATAGCTTCTTGGTTGGAAAGGGATTTCGAGGTGACAAGAAATTGCAGATGCAAAATCAACAATTAGGATGAGATCTGATTCGACGAAAAAAGAAGTTTAGTCAACCCCCTATGCCTATATGGTGCAAGGTTCGCAGTGAAAAGAATACCTTTTCCTTGAAAAGGAAGAACGCGTTTCACGCGTCTCAACAGGCTTTGATGAAGGTAGGGATGATGGAAGTTTATGAGTTACTTCTTGCTTGCTTATCTGAGATTGAGTCAGTAATGAGCTTTGTGTCTTGCTGAAAAGCTTGAGCTGCTCAAGAAGCAAGATGATAAGGAATGTGGACAAAAAAACTCTTACTGCTCGTCCCGCACCAAGAGAATCCAGTGGATACTATGCAAGGGGCTGGTGGAACAAGGCATTCTTATCCTTGCAAGGACAGAAGGTGAACAGCAGGCCCTGGGGTGAATCTATGAGCAAGGGGAATACATTCACTTACTATGGCTTTTGGTGGCTATAGTGTAGGTTGGAAAAAAATGGCAAGATGGAGAGGGTGGGTGGAGGAGAAAGTGGGTGATATAGTGAATAGGAAAACAACGTATATGCACTAAGGAACCCGTGAATGCTTGGAGCTATATTAGCTATGCTCTTGCATCTATGCATTGCTAGTATTGAGGTATCGCTCCGATTGCCCAATATCAAGGATATTGGAAAGCTCTTGTCTTTACTATTGCCACCCATTGTATTTTCTCTCGTATTACAATATTGTATACCACATACTCACCATTCACGGTTATTGCCGTTAATGGCTTTATTCCTTGCTTGAATGTGGGCGGACTATTCACCTCGGACTCCCGATGTCCAGCTTTGAGGCCGGGTGACCAAGGCAACTCCTCCACTCCCTAGCTTTGGGGCAAAAAGGCGTAATATATACCTCCTTACGCAGTCCTTGCAGCTTTCCTATGTCTTATCTCGGCCGCTCCCTCGGTGGGCGAACCGAGCACTCGGGGAATTTATAGACCTTCCAGTCATTCTTCATTCTCTTGGGAATCGGGATCATCTGTTACCTCACTCTCGGACTCCTCCATTCCGCGTTGTCGGCGGATTCCTGCATGCATACCCCATCCATGTGCCGCCGTTCGGTACGAAGTAAATCGGGATGTCACTTAAAAAAACCTTTTTCTTTTTTTTTCTTTTTTTTTTTTTTTACCACGGCTGTCAATGGTGAGCTCCAGTTACACGACAATTACTAAAGATGGGTCTAGCAGTTACATGCTAGTTGATCCCATTATTATTTGACTTCTTTCCTTTTCTCCTACTGCCGAATTGTCATAAACCAGCAGAATATGAAAGCTACGAGAGCTGAACCATCTCTAGACGGATATCGATCATGAAATTAGAATCGATGGTCGAAATGATATTTGAAGTCGTCTCGTCGTATGAAGGTCCTTCGGTGTCTGTTGCGCCTAACGAGACTACTAAGCTTGGAACCGTCTTCTCGAGGTTGTCCTCTAGGTCTATGGCGTCTACATCCCTACGATGTCGTCTTCCCTTATATACTTAATGTACACCTTTCATTGGACCATCTAATAGCTGGATCCCCTGTGGAAGCATCAACATCTCGGGGTTCACCTAAACTTCATCGGGTCCTAATTGAGAGTTAATGCATATTCTGAGTCAGGACCGTCAGGAAAGTACGCAGTAGGTTCGAATGAAGGCTCTCTACGACTCCGAACTTTGGCACCCACACCTAGTAACTAGAAGTCTAGCCATCAAAGCCTCTTGATTCCAGCTTGTAGATATAGGATATCATTGTAAAACTACTCTTACTTCTAAGACATTATACTATTCTTTCGGAATGTAGTCTCTGCTACAGGAGTAGCATTATTTGTAGTAATTGCCCAAATTTATATGTTTATATATAGAAGAATTCCAAAGAATATAGTTACCTCACAGCACTCACGATATTATCCATCATCCTAATTCAACTTCCGCTTAGAGAGGTGAAAAAAATAAAAATAAAAAAAAAAAACAGTTAAACAGTTAAACGATAGTGGTCCCAGAGGGGGTCGAACCCTCGACTTTGGCGTTATTAGCACCACACTCTAACCAACTGAGTTATGGGACCTTGACGGACGCCAGATATCAATCGATCTGCAGAAATCCCAATTTAGCTTGGGAAGGGAGTTGTGTTTGTGGAGAATTCTATCTTTTTTTAAAAAAGAAAAATATTGTGAAAAGCGAAAAAGAATTGAAATGGTCCCAGAGGGGGTCGAACCCTCGACTTTGGCGTTATTAGCACCACACTCTAACCAACTGAGTTATGGGACCTTGACGGAGCCAAGCGGTCAATCAATCCATGGAGAGCCAATTTTATTTTGGGAAGGTTAGGTGTGGCGAATCGGATCATTAGGGTGTCATACCAACGACGTCTTTATCATTGGTATATCCATCAACATGCAGCGATGAGGTCTTCTTTTACCCTTGCAATCCATGCTCGAGGACCTGAATTGGCTCAACGTCGAGCTCGGGTCATATTGTGGCCGAGATCTTCTTATGATCTTGACCCCAAGGAAAGCTTGACCAACTTCCTTTGTCAACATAGGATCTTCGGGAAGCTCGATTGTTGTTTTGATTTCTTGACTTCATTTCTGCATGTCCCTTTCGTATTCTTTCGAAGAACGCTATGTGTTCGAAGTATTGGACGGCAGAATAAGCACAGCTTAATTTTTGGTCAACTGATGACGGGGTCATTCCAATGTTGATTCTGAGACGTGAAATGATAAAGGATACCCCGCAAGGCAACATTAGTTCCTTTGTGGACCAAGGATCAGTTTAAGATCCTCCGTAGCTTCGGCACCAAAGTAGTAAAGCTCCCCAATAGTGCTAGCATTACCATTGAGGTTACATTGCGGGCCACCGTCCACCGCAGACAAAGTAGCAAAGGATGATGGTCCAAGCCTGAGCGTAGAATTGCGGTTGAGACGATATCTTAAGGAAGTGCTGTAGCAGTTTTACACATTCCTCAGCGATGACCGGCCCAAGTAGCGAGTCAACAGAGGATTCCTCCTTCTGCCGTCTGGCAAACTGAATTTCTGACCATTCCTGTGAGCCAGGATACCGACAAGCGCGATCCGCAACGCGTTGGGCTCATCGAGTTTTTCATTTGGCCAGCCGGTTAGAAACCAGCGAGAGGGGCTCTGAGAAAATCTATAGATGTAGGGACGTATCAACAATCAGACATGGTCAAAGGATGCAAAATAAATATCACGCCGGTCCAAAACTGCTCCTTCGGAGAGAGAGTCGCTCGTCGGTCAGAAGGTGTGTTCACGTGATTAATTTCTTGGCAAGCACGCCGATCGGCTTTGAAAGACACAAACGAGAGACGAGCGAGCAATCGTGCACGATAAGACCAGTTCGCTCTCCTACAACCGAACAATCGAGACCAAGATGACTTTTGCGTGGAAAACCGCTGGTTTGACGTAAGTTTGGATCCTTGCTGCCGTTGTTGCTCTCCAATTGCTCACCCGATCTGCGTCGATACAGTTACAACCGGTATCTGGCCATCGCCGCCAGAACCGTCCGACGCTCGCTCAAGCCGGAATTGAGACTTAAGGCAGAGCGTGGAGCCTCAGAGATGAAGTTCGCCAAGTGGGAGGTCAGTAACCTGCACTTTGGGGTAGAGAGGGAGGATTTCCTTCGGGCCGAGACGATCAATTAGCTGACTGGATGCGTGGAACAGAACGGAAGACAGGGCGAGTTCCAAAACCTGGCCAAGAGCGAGCAAGCTCCCGCAGACGCTACGTCGGCGCAAAAATAGATTTAAAACCGAGAAACGCCATGTATTTTCTTACCGGGCGAGCGATGAGAACTTCAGATAAGCGACGGGGCAAGCGCTATTTGTACATTTTGATGGGCGAGACACACGATACCGATTTGTTTCCCAGGTTCATCGACGGTTAAATCAAACATTTCTATAAACCTCCTAAGCCCAAATTAAATAAATATTTCCGGATTAGAGCGATATTCTGGAGTAGTTGACTAGTACTTTGGTCTATGCTGGTTGAGTAAATTTGCATTATAGCGTATCTCCGCAATAGGCCGTTTCAAGTGTTTGTAACTATCTAGCCCACTATACTTGGTTGCTCTTCCATCAGCACACATCGCAGGTGACAATCACAAATAAAGTATTTGTCCAAGTATCTAATGTTTTTGGATACTTCTTTTTTTCTAGCTTCAATTTACTGAATATGAATTAGAGGGTTGGTGGTCAACTGAGTTACAGGTATAATGCGTCTGAGCAAAGGGCCTCCCCGCATCACGTCGGAAGAGATGCAGACACGAGACATTACGGAAGAGTTCACCAAAGCTGCTTCGAGTGCGTTCTGAATACTTCTAAAATACTGCCTGCTTCCTTGGTGTACAGGAGCTAATACCTTGTTGCAGAACTAGAAACTGGCCAACTCGTTAAAGATGAATTCTTCACCTTGTTTGAGTCCGTCGGGGCTTTGGAGGTGCGCAATCGACCTATATTCTCTCATCCGTTGGTTATCTGCTGCTTTTTTGTCTCTTGTGCAGGATATCTGCCATTGGAAGATGATCACTGACACGTGGACTGGGCAATCCGAGATTTTATAGATTATGGACTCCAAGATGGACAGTGGATACCTTGCGCCAGGCGATACATTAGACGATGATTACGACGTTATGAGGGAACTACTTCCGGAAGAAGTTGTGGGCATTATGGACCAACTTTTATGCCTGGAGGTATGGTGTAGTCGTGTCTTTCCTGTCATTTTGGGCGAGACATAGCTGATCGGAACGGTACAGGTAGCATGGCACATGGGCCATCCGTTATCTCAAACGCTTTTTACATCGATATATTTGGATCTCCTTCTCTGGCCGGTTCCATCGAGTCTTGAAGATGCCCAATTCCATCGATGCTCTCAAGCGGGCGGGCATGAACCTCAAAGTAATGAAGGGGACCAAGGTGGAGGAGGAGGTAATGGTGCAGACTTGGTCTCTATTGTTCTTAGGGCCTACTGTTTAGCGTTGGTCAAAGCCTGTGACCGTGTTATTGCAAGAGTAAGCTCAGAATATTATTATGAGGTTAGTATACCTATCTTATAGTATTCCCTGGGCTTGAACTCCGTTGACACCCAAAATAGGAAGAAGATTTTGTCACACAGTTATATAACCGGAAACTCCTGTCCAATGTCGAATCCTCCAAAGTCCATGCTCTTATTGAAGACGCCATATCCTGGCTTAACGACCATAATCAGGATATGTATAAGCCGGTCATGGAGGCGCTTGTCAGTCGATTGGTGTTTCGGAGGGAGTTTCTCAATGCCTTAGATCTGGATACTTCTGCGATGCAATACAGATCAACGGAGAATTTTCAGGCTTGCCTTGACCAGATACGCATCATCGAAAAGTCGATGGCAATTGGGAGACCTGTTGAGGAGTCATTCAGTCGTAAGATCCAGCGGCGTTTGGCTAGCACGGTCCCTCCACGGCCCATGGTCAGAATCGATCCAACAGATGCAATGGCTTTTCTCAAACGCTTATGTCAGGATGCTATTGACGTACAGGAGATTCTTGATTCTCGTAGCCCCTACGACTTGCAGGTAAGTAGGCCTATACCTTCCCCAGATGAACAATATCGCGTTATCTGACGTCTCGTTTAAAGAAATCGGTCTGGACATTGCAATCTCGAAAACCCCAACCCTCAGTTTATATTCGCTCTCTCACGCAAACATTTCTTCTTAACGAAATGCGCGTCCTCGGCACTCAATCCATTAAACAATTCTGTTATAATGATTTAATCGACCTTGTCCTGCCATGGAGTACGCTACTGGACAAGGAGAACGAGGACGTTGAAATACCTTCCGACCCCCGATTTCAGATTGCAAAACACATGGATATTTTCATTAAACGAGTCGCTCAGGTAATTTCATTTGCCGATATGTTTATACCTTTCTAATGCATAATAGCCATTTATTGATACTTACCGGGCGTCATGCCTCAATCGTTGCCGAATACGCCGCACACTTTGTCATTCGATCATTGATTGGGACCATCTTCAGGCTGAGGTGAGAGAACAGATACTTGAATCGCCCCTTTGTAAAACGATAATTTTAACATATTTATTGTTCGTAAGACTGAGGAGATCGACGTTCATCTTCGCAACTTGACTTCCGAACCTGCAGTTAGAATTAATGGAGACGAGCTCACGCACGCTTACCCGCTCAGCAGCTGGGTATATCATCAGAAACTAAGACAGGTCCGGCTCCTTCTACAACTTGGATTCGAGCTTTCTATATATTCCCCGGAGGAGTTTGCCGGTCTGTACTGGTATCTGTCTCATATATGCGGCACACACATTAGTCATTTGGAGCGGATACGTTCCTGCGTCGAAGCGGAGTATCAGAGAGGAATAGTCCAAGCCGGAAACGCTACACAAGCCAACATGGCTGAGCGAAAGCGGGCATTCGAGAGGACGTTCAAAGTCATTCATGGATATTTAACTGAGCTTCTCGCCATAGACGCGTTCGCGGTCGCTCTGCACGCGCTATACACCCTTATCCTACGGCACAACCTCCTTCCTTCAACATATCTAGCTTCTTCTAAACGCTACTCGTCAGAGAAGCTGCGCTACGAACTACGCATGAAGCCATTCTTCTCCGTGTCATTGCCAGAGCCACTTCCTTTCGAATACTTCGAAAGAGAAGTTACGCTGTCTGGCAGGAATGACGAGCAGGTTTTGAAAATGGGTCTGGCAGCAAGTGCCGAAGCAAGGAAAGTTTTAGAACAGAACTTAGCAGAGGGCCCGTTCTTAGGGTCCGAATCAACGGCAGGGAAAGCACCACAAGATAAGAAAAAGAATTTACAGTCTTCTGGCCTCGAGGAGGACTGGACCAGAGACGTCAAAGATTCTTTACGAGCTTGTATTGCGACAAGTATTGCCATTGGGTCGTTCAAAAAAGCTCTTTTGGCGAGCCCAGCACCATCATCGACGAAATCAGAGGCTGACACGATCGAACCTGTGGGTTCTTCGCCGAAACGATTGAATCTGTCTGTCGAGATTCCAGAATCCGGTTCCAAAGATCGCTGGCATGATTGGTGGATTGTGCCAAAGGTGTCGGAGGTTCTTCCTGTTCGGGGTGTTTAGCCGCTAACTACAAAATGCCTCCTGTTGATGTGCGGAGCACCTATATGTGGGTGTGGAAGGATGATGGCAATGCGACATTGGCCACCCTTGTATTAGGAAGGTATATCCATATCTGCCCTTACAACTAGCTATTATTCTTATTGTATAAAATAGGTAGAGGCACATAACTTTCTACAGGCTTTGTCGCCTAGACATGTGCCTAGCTCTAGCAGGGGTGAGAGGGTGAGAAAAATCCATGGTAAATAATTGTTTCATAAGTGGCCCAAGGTGCCAAAAAATTGTATATCCGAAAACCATAAGGAGCTAGCCTGTGAGCAAGGAAAACTCCTCCACTCACATTCCTGCAGCAACCAACAACCCCATCACACCCGAAAATGAGACTGGACGCGCCTTACAAGCACCCATTGAGTTATGGGCACCGCCTTGTTCAAATTGTTTCCACCTCTGGCCCTTCAAATCGACAATACGCTGATCGTAGTCCTCTGCTGTCACTGGTACGGCTACCTGGCGTCGTGGACAAGGCCTGCCACCATTGTCTTTTACAGTAATATGGACATTCGAGCCGATATTCCCCTCGCCGCGGTCGTTATTGTCCCGTTTGGAGCCACCCACTGGAACGCAGCAGTGGCCGCTTAGTTTACCGTTTGTAACTTGCATGTTCATGCTTCCTGGGCAGCACCGACGGATGCCGTTGGAGATGGAGCACGATTCAGTGAACTTGGAGGTGAGGCTGTTATCTTCTGGCGTAGTAGATTAGCAGCGTTTCTCTCAGAGAGCTATGGATGGCTTAGTACGGACCTGCCAGGGTAGAGAGCAGCATGGCGCCTAATGCCAAGGGTGTAATGAGGGTCTTCATGGTTAGTACGATGTCTTTTAAATATTTGTTTATGAGGTTCCAAATAAATGGCCGGTATGGAGTCAGCGGTTCGTAGCATGAGAAACCTGCAAAGTTTAAGAAAGTAATACTGCTTGAAGTACTGAGGGAGCCTAGTCCTAGAGGCACTGTATATATACTGATCATCATCAAGCCATCCTCAGCATACCTATCTTCATGATCTTAGTAGCGCTGTGAAGTGGTATCAAACATGAAGAACATGCTATATGCCATATTTATGACGTCCATATGGAGTATGGACAACCATGGAACTCAGGTGAATGCGTCAACAGCATGGCCGACCCGAAGTGAATGCAAGACAAAGAAATAGCGCTGAGGAACAAGCTCCAGAGTCACTCAAAATAAAACAAAAACAAGGCTCAGCACAGGCACACCTAAGTTTTCCACTCTGCCAAGTGTACTTATTTTTGTGCTGGCTTTCGACTTGTTTCGCAGTCAGCCTGGAGTACCCAAACTCATCGCGCGATGTTCCTCGTGCCCTCCGCTGTTCAGAAACCACTTAACTCTGGGAGAGGGAAGTGGGGGGTGGTGGAAGACAAGGCCGTGGGACCGGGAGCACACTGATTTATCAACAAGCCAAGCCAGACAATTGATATTTCAAGACATGCATTCTTCGCTTGTTATCCATCTAAGCATAATATTCGCAAATAATGGCCAATCAATCAATCGCCAAATATTCGTCAATGTCGACCCCAATACCCCTGGCCATTTCCACAATCCATCCTTCATTGACCGACGCGCTCGAGCTAACCGTAATATTCACGTTCAAGCACCATTTCTCTCCTCCATCAATTGCACCACCAGATGCAGCGGCTGCAGAAGACGCCGGGACAAGCAATCTCAGTCGCTGCAGCGTAGCTATCTCCGGAGAAATCGCGTCTGCAACGGGTAATGCCACGAGAGATGGATTCGGATCAATGGCGTGATATATTGCGAGGAGGCGTTCCAGAGAGAATGGCCGTGGGGTCAGAAAGTTTGTGATTCCTTTACGAGAGCCGAGGAGCGACAATGACGATGCCGGCGTAGACTTAGTGACTCGGGACTGCGCCCCTGATCTTTTACTGCTTTTGGTTGGTGTTTGAATTGGGTCATCAAAATCTTGATCTTGGCCTTGCAACTGAGATGCAAGGTTGAACCGGCCTCGACGACGAATCCGCTTCTTCTTTGAACTTGTGAACTTTGAAAAAAACACTGTATCGAGACGCTGGGGTATATACGCGGCCAGAAACGCCGCTGTGAGGACGAGAGTTGGTAGATAGGGAAATGCTGGCAGTTGAATCGTAGTCTTCGTGAGAGATGACGTACCATTCGTAGTGGATGAAGGGGTTTCGGACACGATATGATGGACGAGAATATGTTCGCCTTGCTGCTGAAACAGAGCACGGTTTTTAACAAGTAATTTAGAGAAATCCCACTCGCCGCCGGGTGGATTTTCTTGATTAACAATTGGAGACACGAACTTCGGCCAGAGCTTTTCAGATGCAGACCGAAAAAAAGGAACTGTACCCGCAGCAGGGCCAACCAAGGAGTCGTACAGCGTCGCTAGGAAGAGAGAGTATAGTTTCGTTGCGATCTCTTCGGGGAGATCAGCCACAGGTGGAGGCAACAACCTTGAAAGTATGGCAAGCATCTCATTTCGAGAATATGGCGGGAAATAGATATGTGGCACGCCTGCAACTTGCAGGAACAGAGGACGGGGCGTAAATCTCGACGCAAATATGACACATAACGAAGGGACCTATAAGTTTGAACCATGTCGTGTTAGTCCATGCAACTGAGAAGCATAAACAAATTTATAAAAGTTAGATATGGATAGTACCATCTCTCCCATTCTTGCTAATGCCGCCAGCAGCATTTGCCCGCCTTCTCGAAGCTCATCCACCCCATCCAACAGAAGCACATACTTCTCGCACCTCGTCTTCCCAAGAATGCCGCTCAAGACAGCAGGTAGTGTGCTAACATGCTCACACCGGACCGTGTCAATGATCTTCAGCCACTCTTTCTCCGCGCCATCACTAAATACCGGCCAGGTCGCATTTTGTATCGCTGCGATCACGCTAGTCACAATCTTCACCAATAGATGCCGTGCAGTAATACATTCCGCGACTCTAATAGTCGATGAGAGAAAGAGTGCCTTTGTCGAATGGTCACCTGGCGGGCCCTGTACGCCCTTCTGCTTTCTCTTTCTCATGGTATCTTTGGACGAAACGTTCGGTTGAGAACCGCACCCGGCATGCCTCCCATATTCTTCAAGGATTGTGCGCACCACGCTCGACTTCCCAGACCCCTGTGGTCCATGAATAAAAATGGCTGGTGGTGAAGGTAAAGTAGGCTGTGTTGTGACATCTTCATCAGTTAGTTTGATCAGTGCAGGAGAGCGTTTGAAAAGCTTCAATAGGGGCGTAGAAAGGACAGGATGACACGAACGCAGAGCAAAGTAATCAGTTGTCTGATTTGCAGGTCTCTACAGTGCCATTGTTGCGAGATCGATGCAATGAGCTCCTCCGGCAACGTCGAGCCCATACTTATTGTCTACGGTTAAAACCGTCGCGCGAGCCTCAAGAGGAGGATCAAGTCGCGTCGTGACTTCGTTCCTACAGCGGTTTGGGGTTCTGCTTGCGCATTTTATTCTCATTGTCATTCTTTTATATATTATTATCTTATTATCTGATATTATTATATTATTTTGTATTCAAAATACAAATCTAGTCCTCGATGGTCTAACGGTTATGATTTCCGCTTGTCATTGTTAAACATTAACAAGCGCGGGAGACCAGGGTTCGACTCCCTGTCGGGGAGTACTTTTTTTTTTTTCCATCTTTTTACTAAACCCCCTCCCCCAAAGAAACTTTGTCGAAATGTCACTCTGGTCAGCCGGCTCTCCTTAATTCGAGGGATTCGATACATCCAGTCTACGGAATACAACATTTACGCTCGACCCGAGCTTTTTGAATCGAGTAATTCCTCCAGGGAAATAGGTTCAACAAAGTTGATGCTTATTGCTCGTGCTATGCTACGCTGATGCGCTAAAGCTCTGCAACTTAGTTTACTGTAACTGGGGGGGAATTTGGGGGAAAATTGGGGAATATGGGTACATCTATTCTAGATGAGAGGGCAATAAAAGGGTCATGATACAAGGCTGGTGGGGGTTATTCATCAAAAGTGGGGGGGAATCATAATCCGGGGAAAGCAATCGTGAATACAAAGCCTCGAAAGTAAAATGAGTAAAAGGAAAGTAAAAGTGTGTGCAGGTCAAACGGAGCATTTAGATGGCAGGCATTGAGATGTCAAGACGAATTCGGGAGACAGAGAGATACAGTCGACACGCGACATCCACCATGAATCTCCGATAAAATCCAAGGAAAACTTATTGTCGTTGTAGGATTTAATCAAGCCCTGGAAACAAAGATAAAAGTACAGCAGAGTCAAAGAAATGAAGGTAAAGAAAAAAACCTAGGATTGCATATCAAGAAAAGGGATGTCCGCCAAACCATGCTGATCTTGTCGGATTTCCTGGGTTCTGATCGCGGGATTGTGCGTGCGTATATCCAGAAAAATCAAAATGGTGATATCGACAGGATGGCAAACTGCATTCAAAGCAAGTGAAATGGCGCCAGTATTGCAAAAGGAATGAATTGGATGTTGTAGACAAGCAGCCCGTAATGTTGTGCAAAAGAATGGAGCACAAGTATGCATATCAATGTTAAAGTGGAAGCGGCACCGTCAAAAACATCGTAGGGGACAGCAGTGTATCCATATGAAAAGCAGCTGAGCTGTTGCTCTCAAGACATTGCTGGGTACAAAGGCCAAAAAGAGGGCTTGATGCGTATGGGCGAGTTGTACAACAGGGCGGATAGATATACCCTTGTACGAGAAACAAAACAATGCGTCATCAAGATTCAGAGAAGAGATCATGGGCCGAGATTTGCAAATCTGCTATATGGCAAGTCTTTTTTGTCATGATCATTGTGTTTGCACAGGGAATTTCTTTATCATTCTTCTCTTTCTTTTTTCTCGGGTTGCGGCCGTAATCATCATCAGTCATTTCGTCGTTTCATTTGGTGGTACAATCTGTAATGAGACAATAAAAGGACAGGGTCGACAGCAAAGGGGCCATTAATAAAGGCTAAAACCCTGAGCGCCGCCGTTAATTCCGTTCAAGACATTGGCCCCTTGTTGCGGAATCGGGCAGTAAATGGGGGTACTGGATTCAGATGTTGGGGCGGTGGATCCTCCATTCGACACTGAAGAGTCGCCTGTGATAACGGTCATAGAGGAGCCGGCGCTCATGCTGTCAGAAATGCTGGTATTGAATTGTGGTCCATATTGAGAAATGGTCGGATTGGAAAACGACTTGGACTGGGGATAAGGTCCGTTCTCTTCGCGTCCGTTAGGAGTAAGCTGGCCATTGGCGGCGCCATTAGTACGGCTCTGAGAATCAATGCTCATGATTTTTCCGGCAATGCGACGTCCATGAGGAGTTTGGCGGATAGAAGGAAGAATTGGTCGAACGGCCTCAATGAGTGCCACGCGCGTCTCAGGATCTGCATAGTCCATTGCGGTTTGGACGACATAGTTTGCAAAGGAATCTCGTAGCATTCTTTCAAGCTCGTTCACCGGCAACATCTCCTGAATAAGGAGGCGACGACTCTGAAAGTCGGCAGTTCGAAGGCATTTTTCAATGACATTGGAGCTAAATTTCTGCTTTGAAAGCATTGATACCTTTCCGATAAACGTTTGGCAGAGAGGTTCTGTAAAACGAGGTTCCGCGAGGTCCACTGCCAAAATTAGTAACTGACAAACAGCCAGGGAGACAAGTAAACTTACATATATATTGAACAACATAATTTCCAAAAGGATCTTGTACCAAAGTGTAGGAACTGGCTGTAATCTGTGCAATCAACTGTGCGCGCTGATCTCCAGAAGCATGGTCAATGCAACGCTGGAGGACACAGCATCCATGACGATGAGTGCCAACTGCAATACAACTTGCACCAACGGCATCATAAATGAACTAGGCAAACGAGTCGGCAATAGTCCACAATATAAATCATGAATAGGGGGATAATACCTGAGCGTCGGCAGCAGACAGTCGATTGAGACATTTTTGAATCACATGATTACCATTGAGATCTTGAACTAGATCTACCACCTTGTCGCGCAAAGCTTTTATTACAGTTTGAGTCTGGAAAATGCTGTGTCAGGCAATTGTCAAGACACCAAGGATGATTAGCATGAACATTACCTGCTCAGGGGTGGAAATAAATTCAATCATTTTCTGGAGTGCACGCGTCCCATGCTGATTCAAGGCAATGGAAACCAGCTGAGGAGCTGCATTGTTAATAAGAGCAGTGCGCTGTTCATCATTCGAGAACTCGAGGAGTTTCTGGCAAAGATAATTGCCAAACGGGTCTGAGAAATTTGAAATCAGCTACGATCTAAAAATCAACGCAATCATGATTGTTGACTAACCAGTCATCAGTTCGACAACATGCACATGTGTCTCCAAGAAGATCATTTGAACATTCTCGGGAATGCGCTCTTCCAATTTTCGCTGCAAATAGCGACAGCCATGTTGGTCCTTGCACAGCCCATACAGCTCACCTCGGTACTGTTCAAGTGGAACATTGGCGAATCGAGAGAAGGCGCCGGCCTCCGCCTCCCCATTTCGGCGGACTTGACCAACTCTTGCTGGATTTTCAAGGAATCGAGAGTAAGCCTGGAAAGGCTGTGCAAACGGGGGTTGAGAAGTAAGAACAAATCCATGATTCCCATTGCTTTGCATTGGGCTGGTAACCCAGGGCTGCATTCCATACCCGTAACTAGAATGTGGATAGCTATTCTTTGTGGGCGTGACGGTGCCGTTAACTTTCGCAGACATCGTGACAGGAGTCTTGATCTGCCCTGAGAAGGGCGCAGCAGTTACTTGGAAATTAGACTGTAAAGATTGCACATTGTGAATAGGCTCGCTGTGCTCCGACTGAGGAGTAGGGGGCGTATCATTAAGCTGGAGTGGGTTATGAGAGTGTGGAGTGATGACTCCGCTTCCATGGTGATCACTGCTCGATCCGGGAGGGGTAATATTTGTTGGAAAGCCACCATTCCTGATTGTTGGAACATCGCTTGTCGAATAAGACATCTGCAAAGAGGCCGGGCGACTGTTAGATGGTGTGTTGCTTGTGGTAGAGGGAGCGTAGCCTGAAAACCCTCCATCCAGTGAGGGTCGACTGATATGGCGAGTGTGATAGTTTCCATTGGACAATCCTGATGTTGTAACAGGAATGTGAGATTTATCATTTGAACTATCACTATGAAGCCAGCCAAAAGCATTTTGTGGCAAGCTCTGGTGGGATGAATGATGACGCTGATTAGCACGATATGTCTCAGGGACAGGAGTGCGAGAGTTCGCAAGATCCAATGCGGCAGAATTGGCTGAAAGCTACATTGAATTTATTAGAAATGAGGGTACTCAAGAAGATTGTTCTAGGAGTGCATACCATAGTGGGATCGTCGTCATGCCTGGTTAAAGTGGGGAATTTATCATCTGGATCAGTCATGCGCAAGTAGCTTTTCACGTCAGGGGTGGACATGCGTTCTTCTTCCTTTGGCTTATCATCATCCTCGTCGACAGAATGCTTGCCAGTATAAAATGCACCAAATCCCAAGGAGGGACCAAAACCACTGGTGCTGGATGCAGAAGATTGAATTGAAGACGGAAATGTAGTTGTCGATAATGAATATCTGCTCCTAAAGGGGAAATGAAGAGGTAAGCATCAAGGCAAGTCAGGGGACCTTGTGAGAGGAGAAACTCACATATGGCGGGGGCGATAAGCTGCAAAACCATTAGAATGGAAATCATGCTCAGAATTACGTCGCGAATTCATGGTTGAAGTAAAAGGTTCGCTGCCGTTGAGACCAAATGACGAATTTGCCTTGCTTGCTGTTGGAGAAGTGACCTGAGGAGAGAACAGGTTGCTAAATCGATTCGGGGTGGATTGGCCGTTGGAGATAGAGAATCGAGAGGGACGAGAAAAGGCAGTTGGAAATCCTGACTCATGATACTCAGGGGGAGTGGTTGGCTCGCTGGCTGCCCCCCCGAGGTCGGTACGTGCCAAATCTCGAGCGATTTGGTCCATTTCTTGTTCCTCCTTCTCTTGCTGGAGGTTGAGGAGCTTCAAGTCGGCTTCAAATCTCTTCTTCTGCTCTCTCATATACTCAATGTGCTGTCGTTTTCTCTCAAACTACTGTCAAGTTAGATGTGCGAGGTGCAGAGAAAGCATGGGAAGCATGTAAAAGAGAAGTGGAGGAAAGAGGATGAAGGATAAAGGTAAGGGAAGTATTAAGGTTGAGTGATAGGAAATAAGGAAAGACAAAGTGAGGAGCTCACAAGCTGTGACTTATGGAGTCGAGTGGCCTAGGACAGTAAGGAAAAGCTGGTCAGTAAAACAAATACGTAAAGGGCGAAAAAAGGAAGCAAGAAGACATAGAACACAATCGTATGTGAGCTCGAGTGAAATAACCTCACTTCAGCGCAAATAGAGGAGGAACACAATCACTCAAATCCAATCACGCAATTTTCAGCCAGTAGAAGGGAAATACCCACAGATGACAGTATATCCAACGACTCCGGTAACAAAGGGGGCTGCGGACCGAAGCTCATCCATGGTGAAAACTTGGTGGAGTCTGTGGTGAATCGGCGTTGGATCGTCGAACGGATATCTGAACTGGCCGCGTGATTAAAACTCGATTGGCCGGCCGGAGGCGATGGGAAGTTGGAGAAGGGAGATTCCGAGAGAGAGGATCGAGGAGAGGCAAGACCGAGCTCGTCGAGCCGCTCATTGACACCATTTCTGTACGTCATATCCGCGGACATCTAATATTCCGGTCAATGGGTGAGCATTGTCTGCCTGGCGCACACAATTGAGGCAACGGTGGATTGAATGGTTAAAACTGCAAAACGAGTGACCTTAACCAAGCCATAGACCTGGAAAAGCAGAAACGAAAGAATAGAGAGAAAAATAGAGAAAAGAAATGAGCAGAGTGGGAAGCGAAAGATCAGGCGGGGAATAGAGGCATGGAGAAGAGAGAGATGAAGACGTTGGGAGCTTGCAGACCGGGGGGGTTGTTGGGAAGTTTGGGACGGGATGTTTGGCGCTGTTGTGTTAGTCCAACCCAAAGAACGGGGGAGGACTGGTCTTACAAACACCGTCTTACAAATAACGCGAGCTCAAAATCACTGGCTCTAGCGAACCCGACAATTGATAAATCAAGACAAAGGAACTTACGGCTTCGCATTCGGATTCTCTCGGCTCTCAAGGATTGGTGGTGCCCGGTGCGTCGTTAAATTGAGCTTTCTTGGGTACTTTGCCCGACTGCTCCGGGGAACCTTGAAAAATCGTGGACGGATTCTTCTTATCTGAAAAACTTATCGGTCGCTGTATTCCCGTCTACGAGCTATGAGATATGAAGCTTCTCTCTGCGGGACTGTCAAGCTAGACTGAACAATGGAGAGAGACCAAATAGCGATCTGGCGCGGTGGTCTGATGCTGTCTTTCCGGTGAGCCCGTGTTTGTCAAAATATAGGGGGAGGGATCACATTCAAGGGATCCCTCAGTCTGAGTCTGTGAATGATTCCGGCAAAGATGAATCAACAGGGCTCACAGTCGTATGGTTCATCCTGCGCGGAGGCAAAGAACAAGCAATAGTAGGGGAACAAGGAGAAAACGACGGATTCTGAGGGGACAAAAGGGACGAGAGGAGACCTGTTGTACAGACCAACCCATCAATGGCTCTGCGCACAAAGCATTGAGGGAAGATGAGAGGAGAAGAGGGGAGGAGTAGAGAAGAGGGAAGAGGAGAGTCTTTTGCGATAGTGACCTGTGTGATCGATGGCGGGGGTTGAATCCAGCACTGCAGACGCAGGTCGGGGGGGCGAGGCGACGCCGCGACGGTCTGGACGAATGGCGGAAGGAAGAATGGTTAGCCTGCCGCCTAGCCTCCCGGAATGTCGAATTTCTGCTGCGTCTGATTGGAATGGCGCGGGCGCAAATTCAGCGAAACCGAGCAAATGGCGTTGCGTCAGGCAGAGGTACCCGCTACCTGATTCCACTGAGGGGTCACCGCCTGTTTCATAGCCCAACCAGCCCGAGCGGCAGCTGGACCGCCAACGCCCGCCATGTACCGTGGACTTCCTTGCCCAACGGCCCCAACGCACGGCCTGTCAACCGTTCGCCGTGACACAAAAGCAATTATTATCCCTCTTCGGTCTCTGAACCACGAAGGCTGCTGGTCTCTAAGGCCGTGATCCGGTTGCACTGGACTATCCCATTCTCCCAGATCCAATTTGGCCAGGGAGCCTCGCTTGCGGGTTAACCAGCCGTCCGGCCTCTAGACATCCCCATCTCAACGGACAGAGCTCCGTTTGTATGCAGCTACAGATCACGGAGGACGTACTGCGTACTGTACACCCCTACGCACATACATATGTAGGGCGGATGTACGCATAACTCCCTCTGTCTTTGCGTCCTATCATTGAGAGGCAACGTGGATTGCGTTGAGTCCACAGTTAGAACAACACAGGTCGAAGTCCCCTGGCATTGCTGGCGCTCACTTGGTCTGTTTCAAGAGGCCCAGAACATGCCACTTCCTGCAGCCTTGGTGTCGGATCACAAGTGGCTACGGATGAGAAACAGTCGACAAGGGTCTTGACGATCCAACTTTCGCCTCACAGTAAGATGTCCATGCTGGGGCTGGGAAGCTCGTCTATCAACCAGAACCACCAGACAGGATTCCCATCTCCGTTTTTCGTATTAACAACTCGCTACACACTTTGTCGACAAATAAAATAGTTGACTCGCTTGTAGATTCCCTCCACATATCGCAATTGCGATCGTCTTAAACCTGAAACAGCGCCATCCCCAGATACCAGTCGCCATGCAAAATCGTCAACGGAGGAGAGCTCTAGGGCACACGAATTGAACTTCCACCTTACTATTGAAATCCCCCCCCCCTCTCTCTCTTAGTCGATGTATGTACTATGTAGACTACATGATTCAGGCGTACTGTATATGGAAATAGAAAAAAGCAAATCAATCCTTGAAATTGTCAAATCAACCAATCCATCAAAGCTCCGACAAGGGCACCAGCAAATCCCCTCGAACAGGGAATTGCAAATGGGCTTTTTTTTGCATTTTGCACCCTGACAAGCGTTCCGAACCCGAGCTTGCCACGATTCACCCGCCCACTGCGCAGGTTAACGAACTAACTCCCCTTCCCGCATGCCATGCATGTAATACGCGCTGACTGATCCGAAGCTCTGCGAGGGACCAATGATATCATCCATCATATTCACGGAGTTTTCTGGGCTGGTAAAGATTTCCGACCGAATGATCCCCAAGCTTTATCGGGTTGATCTGCACAGGACAGAGCAGGAATTCGGCTAGGGAGGGGGGAGTGGAAGTGAGGAGTAACGACTGATCAGCTCGACAAGGTTAAAATACAGTCACTGGTCGCTGTGCAACGTGCAGGACTTGACATCGTTATGGAGGATGGGGTATCCATGAAGCTACGCGAGACTATTGCTAAGTTAATGCCTTGGGGAGCATGCGACATCGCATCGTTGCGTAGAAAGGCTTGGAAGACGAGGGGCCGGTGTGAACTAAACAGATTGTTGATGGATGGATTCCAATATAGCTGATTACATCGATCGTGAGGTACACGGGCCCCATTACACCACCCACAAAAACATCGAAACAGCTGATCTGATCCATCCACGCCGGGGGATCGCCGACTGTTGGAGTATTGGGCGCCCAAGTCAACGAGGCCATGCCTGAATGAAGCAAAGGTACCTGATCTGTGTTCCATTCGCTCTATGTCCAGGTCTCAAAGTTATCTCATTGAATAAATAGGACCACATCCCGCTGCACTACCTTCCCCGACCCCATCCAGTTACCCCACACTCGTGCATTTGAGTTATTGGAGCCGAGCCAATTCATGGAGTCTCCCGTTAACTATGCGAGCTGGATGGAGCGACTTCTATCAGGTGGAAAAGAAGAGATTGCAAGGCGATATGCTTGATAATCGCCTGCTCTCTAGTCTAGTCCGCTGTCCAGGTACCGCTATACGCTCGTTCTCGTAGCCAGCATGCAAAATAGCTGTTCTGATGATTACCGACGAATTGGGTCGAGGGGCATCGCGATAAAACGCCGATGCGGCACCTCGGAAAATGGCCCAACCTTGAAGAAATCCGATAGCAGTGCATAGTTATCCTTTCCCCTCCCGGATTGAAGACCGGCCGGGGCCGTGGCTCCACGGTAGCGTCTCAAGAAGTCATCGCGAACTGATATAAAAAGCACTTCTTTTCGGGTTCGGGCATCCCGTTTCGCCATGCCAGATTAAACCCGACAACGCGTGACCTCCAGGGTAATTTGGAGGGACAAGACCGACACTATCCGGGCTCTAGTATTCAAGGGGGAACGGCTCCCGTGATTGCGCACGTTGGGGAGGGGAAGCCGGCATTTTCTGTTCATTGGTGGAAAACTGGAAAACGAGGAAGTATTGCCAGTATTCCTCCAATTGATTTTGCACCAAGTCATTGTCCCAGAAGCTCTTCCTCACTGCGGTCTTTCGAAGCCCCTTTCACAATGGCATTTCGCTGCGGGGGGCGCTGCTTCCGGCGCCCGGTATTACTGTTTATCCGTAAGAGTCAATTTAGCGCCGTGCCGCGCGGCTAATTTACGCGGATTAAATATTTCCCGTGTTATCGTGAGGGTTCCCTCCATTTGTTAGTCATCAAAAAAGATATCGGAATGAGTTCCTCGCCAGCGCGGAGCGGTAATGTCGAGCTGCCATTTACCACATTGTGCGCCTTTCCCTTGCTGATGGAAGGCCTATAGTTTGTGAATTAGTTTAACCAATTATGCCCCCGAAAAAACGGCCGCAGGGTGCTGCCCAGCAGAACCCGTCCGCGGATTCTCTAAACGTTTGTACTTCTCGAGTTTGCGCTTTTCTTCGTGCAAAGCGTGATCTTCCTGTAGATTTAATAGAAACGCTAATATACCCGCATAGTCTACTTCAGATCCCTCAGCTCAAAGTAGCACGGGCGCATCAGGTATGCCTGCCGGAAACTCCAAGCGGAAACGGACCGGGGACATAAAGGCTGCGCCAGCCGAAAGCCAGGGCAAGGAGGGTGGTGCTGATGCCAGAAGAAAGAGTGGCCCAGCTGGTGAGCGTAAAGGCAGAGGCCATGATGTGCGTCCATCTAAGCCGCTATTTCTATGCAAGAGAGTGAAGGCATCAGCTCACGGAACATTTTGCGTTTAGGACTTTGAAGACCTTCTTCAACCTTTTTACTATAACAAATCCCTGACCGATCCGATCAACACTGAAAAGGACAAGTGGAACCTTCTTCCTGCATTTTTGAAGGTGAAAGGGCTCGTCAAGCAACATATCGACTCGTACAACTACTTCGTCGAGGTACAGCTGAAAAAGATCGTCCAAGCGAGTGCTGAAATCCGTAGTGATGTGGACCCAAACTTCTACATCAGGTTTGCGCTGCCACTTAATTTAATTGGGAAAATAACGAGGACGTCGAGCTAACTAGGTTTTCCTATTTTTCAGATTTCACGATATTTATCTCGGCAGCCCCCGCCGAGCAGATGAAGAGCAGTCAGAAGATGCGCGCTTCAAAATCGAATCGACCGTTACCCCAAACGAATGTAGACTACGGGATATGACCTATGCTGCGCCGATCCTGGTTGATTTTGAATACGTCCGTGGACGGCAACGAGTGAAGCGGAATGGAACAGCGATTGGCCGCATGCCGGTCATGCTTCGAAGCTCAAAATGCGTGCTTTCGAAAAAATCACCGCGTGAAATGTACCTATTACACGAATGTCCCTTGGATCCGGGAGGCTACTTCATCGTAAACGGAACGGAAAAGGTGATTCTTGTGCAGGAGCAGCTGAGCAAGAACAGAGTCATCGTGGAAACGGATCCGAAGAAAGAGATTGTTCAGGCCTCTGTCACCAGGTACGGAACTAGTTTTTGTTTCCCTCTTCTTTTAAGTATATATATATATATATATATATTTGATATGACCTTCTGAGTTCTGATAATTCTATAGTTCGTCGAACGAGAGAAAATCCAAGAGTTACGTCATCCTTAAGAAGGATCGGATATATCTAAGACATAACGTTCTTAGTGATGATATACCTGTCGTTATTTTATTAAAGGCCATGGGAATACAGTCTGATAAGGAAATGTTGCTTCTCGTGGCTGGAGTAGACAGCGTATACCAGGAAGACTTCGCTATCAATTTCGAAGAATCTATCAAACTTGGAATATATACGCAACAACAAGCACTGGAATACCTTGGATCACATATTAAAATCACCCGAAAACCTAATGGCTTTGGTGGAGGCCGTCGAAATTATATTCAGGAGGCAGTCGAGGCCATCGCTTCAGTTATCATTTCTCATGTTCAGGTGGAGAACATGAACTTTCGCCCCAAAGCTTTGTACGTGGCTCACATGGCTCGTCGAGTTTTAATGGCAAAGCATGATTCGAGTTTGGTTGATGATCGCGACTATGTCGGTAATAAACGATTGGAATTGGCCGGCCAGCTCCTTGCGTTATTGTTTGAGGACCTGTTTAAGAAGTTTTGCTTCGATATTAAAATGAACATCGATAAGGTGCTGAAGAAGCCTGTACGAACCGAAGCCTTCGACGCGTTCAGCGTGGTTGCAATCCACGGAAATCATATCACGCAGGGCATGAATCGCGCTATATCCACGGGCAACTGGAGTCTCAAGCGGTTTCGCATGGAGCGTGCAGGAGTTACCCATGTGCTCAGTCGATTAAGCTACATATCTGCACTGGGTATGATGACTCGTATATCCAGTCAGTTCGAAAAAACTCGGAAAGTCAGCGGTCCTCGAGCTCTCCAACCCTCCCAATTTGGCATGCTTTGTCCCTCTGATACCCCTGAGGGTGAAGCCTGCGGTCTCGTCAAGAATCTTGCGCTCATGACACATATCACTACGAATGACGAGGAAGAGCCGGTGAGGAAACTTGTGTTTGCTTTAGGTGCTGAAGATGTGCAGGCGGTGGGAGGACGGGAGTTTTACGGCCAAGGAGCATATATTATATTCTTAAACGGTTCGCCTATTGCTTTGACTCGCCGCCCAAAACATTTCTTAAACTCGTTCCGGAGGTTGAGACGAATGGGCCGGGTCTCGGAGTTTGTGAGCGTATACATTAACCATCACCAAAGTGCCGTCCATATTGCTACTGATGATGGCCGAATTTGTCGTCCACTGATCATTGTCGAGAACCAGAAGTCGAAGGTTACCGATCTCCATCTTGGCATGCTGCGCAATGGAACAATGGAATTCGATGACTTCCTCGCTCAAGGTCTCGTCGAATATCTTGATGTTAACGAAGAAAACGATTCTTACATTGCGGTATACGAGAATGAGATAAATGAAAATACTACCCACCTGGAAATCGAACCTTTCACTATTCTTGGTGCTGTCGCCGGCCTTATTCCTTATCCACACCACAATCAGTCACCCCGAAATACCTACCAATGCGCCATGGGTAAACAAGCCATAGGTGCTATTGCAAATAATCAGTTCTTACGCATTGACTCTTTACTTTACACAATGGTTTATCCTCAGAAACCTATGGTCAAGACGAGGACCATAGAACTTGTAAAATATGACAAATTACCAGCTGGTCAAAGTGCCACGGTCGCTGTTATGAGTTACTCCGGCTACGATATCGAGGACGCATTGGTACTGAACAAAGGGTCAGTAGACCGTGGATTTGGACGCTGCCAGGTCTTCCGTAAGTATTCAGCGAATCTCAAGAGCTATTCAAACGGAACAAAGGATCGATTACTGGGACCCGACCGCCAGGATGGTGTGCCTATTCGTAAGCACGCCCTACTTGATAACGACGGATTGGCAGCTGTGGGAGAGAAGGTGAGTAGCGGCGAGGTTTACATCAATAAAGCAACGCCTGAGAATGCTTTGTCTTCCGGAATTACTGGCTCAGACGCTGGAGGGCCGATTGCATACATTCCATCTCCACAAACCTACAAACTTCCGGATCCAAGCTACATCGATAAAGTCATGATATCTACGACGGAAGGCGAAAATCAACTCCTCAAAGTACAAACACGACAAACCCGTCGCCCAGAGGTTGGCGACAAATTTTCATCCCGCCACGGACAGAAAGGTGTTGTAGGCATCATTGCTGAACAAGCCGATATGCCTTTTACCGACCAGGGCATAGTCCCAGATATCATCATGAACCCACACGGTTTTCCCTCTCGTATGACAGTCGGTAAAATGCTCGAACTTGTCGCCGGCAAAGCCGGCATCCTCTCAGGCCAATTTGGTTACGGCACTGCTTTTGGTGGCAGCCCTGTCGAAGAAATGTCAGCCATACTCATCTCCAAGGGCTTCAACTATGGTGGCAAGGATTATCTCACCTCTGGTATTACGGGCGAAGCCCTCCCCGCCTACGTGTTCACTGGACCTATTTACTACCAGAAACTCAAACATATGGTCCAAGATAAGATGCACTCCCGAGCTCGTGGACCGCGGGCTATCCTCACTCGCCAGCCTACCGAAGGTCGATCACGGGATGGTGGTCTCCGCCTGGGAGAGATGGAGCGTGATTGTCTCATTGCATACGGTACCAGTCAATTGCTTCTGGAGCGATTAATGATTTCCTCTGATCGGCACGAAGTTGATGTGTGCGAAAACTGCGGTTTTATGGGCTACTTGGGCTGGTGTCAGCGCTGCAAGACGTCAAGAGGAGTGGTGAAAATGGTGATTCCGTATGCAGCGAAGTTACTGGTTCAGGAGCTTTTCAGCATGAATGTAGTTGCACGGCTTAAGCTCGCGGATGAGTTCCCCGAAGAGAGAGGAATGTGACAGCGATTTGAGCGACTGCTTGAGTTTAATAAAAATTTCCTGCAACTCCTTCTAGAACTAATTTCATGTTTATTTACGGACCTTGGAAAAAAAAAGTATTTTACCTGCATAGGGATGGATATGAAGCATGGAGTTAACGGGATGTATCTACAAACCGAATTAGATTTATAGTCGTGCTATGTATAACAGTCAGTTTTAACAGATCATCTTTGGAGGGTGTAACGTTTTCCAAGTGTGTTCGTAGGCAGATCGATTGAAATCCAATCCATTTAGGTATTTATTTCCCCGTAAAAAAAGACTTTCCAGCAAACTGGGGTATCACTCATACATGTACAGACATATCAAGTAACAACAGTGGTCACCCAAGATCATCCTTCGATCTAAGAGCACCTAAGGCCTGTGCCTAGCCATACTACGCCATGGTTTTATCCTTGTTCATTAGCCCTAAAGTTCCAAGTCAAAACGCCCGCTACACCCAAGAAGAAAAGGCGATACGGAGGTAACAAAATCGAGCATGACCCGCTTCACAAATGCCACTCGTCCACGGCACTCCCAGAAGCAACCAAAAGGCTCGGTATTCCTGCGCGCCCTCCCTTGCTGAAGTCCCGTTCATCATCCTCGTAATCTTTAAGTAAATCGAGGCGGTCCGGCAAATTGTCGAATTTCACGAGAGAGATCGGTCCTGGATATTGATATGATGCAAGGTTTTCCGGAAAGTTATATCCTAAAAGTGAATGACGGATGGCTCTAGTTGGTTTCGAGTCCCGGTCAGTTGTGAGCCTCTTACCCGTGGCAAGCGAGTAGAGCTGGACAGTTCGTTGTTCGGATGCTATGGCCCGTTAATAGGAATGAAATTTCGGGTGGAAGGAGGTGGAAGACAAACAACAAGCGAGAAGACCCAGTTCCGGACAGACATCTATATTATTAAAGATATTGCACTGCACATCGTAAAAGTTCAGATAGGGTGTAGTCGCTTTATGACTCGGGTTATTAGGCCGAGGGCGGTCATCTGTGCGATGAGACGCGAATCGAAGATCGTACATGCTCAGCTATCCGATACAAATACCGCATTAGCATTATAGATCTTCTCGCGCGGTAAAGAGAATTGACAAAATGGCATCCGGTGGAATATTTCTCAAGAGGAGTTTCATTGACATACTGTAAGATTCGCCCCAGCAACGACAATCCTCCAGTCGTCTAGCTTTCTAAGAGACTGTACGCCATGTGCATGCTGGAGCCTGGCGACTGAGCCTTGACTTCTAACATCGTAAAGCCACACCTTTGAACTAGTCGCACCCGCAATGATCACATTTCGACTGAGCCAGTCGACAGATCGAATAGGCGATTTGAACTTCTTAGCTGTGGCAAGTATCCACTGACTCTCGTTGTTGGAAACAGTAATCAAGTCCATACCACAACCCACTGTGAACGTAGTAGTAGCAGTATCCGGCGAAGGGGCAATGTTGCAATTCGACCATCCGGGACGGCTAACACAAACCAAAGGTCCTGTATCCGTGTCATTACATAAAGTAAGAGGATGCTGAAGTAGTTTGAAGTCGAGGGGTGTTCCATACCGTCGAACGTCTCCCCTCGGCGAAAGTCAGGATCATTCGTCGTCAGCAGCTTTCCAATAGTCAGATTGACGCTTAAGCCCATAAGGTTATGAGATAGTGCCCTTCAAAGAGAGTTAATAGGGATATATTCCAGGAGTCTAGAAACCGGGAAAATCATTGAAACTTACATCATATGTCCGGCATGAGAAATTGAAATCGATTCAATCTATGTCTGGTTAGGCCCTAAATAGGAAAACATTTCTAACTCTGTCGCACATACATAGTCATCACGCCTCCCCATAAAATCATGGCAGTGGTCTGTAGGGTCGTATCTCCATGGATATTCTGGAGATCGAGGAGGGAAAGCACTTGTAGCTCATGTCAGCGAGCTTGATATAAATGCACAAGGTGAAGCGTACCAAAATCCAGAAGGACCAGCTACATTTAGAGCTAGATAGAATGTACATCAGCGCCCAAACCAAGATTAATGTTGAGAGACTCAAAGCTGGTGTAAATATAACTTACTTGTAAAAAGCCGTGCTGTACGAGGGTCTCTCTCCACGTTTTTCACTGTCAGTCCGGCATTCCAAGAGCGAACGTCGACGAGGGTGTCACGCCCAAGAAGACCAACGCAGGCCTTGCTACGGTCGCGGATAGAAGCATTTGCACGTGGTCCATGCTGTCCGATCTCTCGTTGGAGCCCCAAGTTCCCGAAAAGAGGATGATGGAGAATCCTTGAGGGCGTGATCCTCTCCGAGGCCAGACGTTCTTCAAACGACTCAACCTTCTTTCGTTTCTATTAACTTTTGATCAGCATTTTCGAGATGGAGAATCTAAAGCAAAGGATAAGGTACCCACCGCTACAGACTCTTCCCGCTTGCTAACCTCCCCTCTCGAGTATCTGGAGCCTTGGGGAACTTGGTAATTTTCCTGAAGCTTAAAATATCTTTTCTTATCCGGGTCTAGGGAGAAAGGTCAGGACTATGCCATGAAAAGCAATTTATAAGGCATAAAACCAATAACAGAGAATAATTGCAGCCAGCAGACAGTGTGGTTTCCACACAGTAGTAGCCTCTTTCTAGTCCATGGCTCCCAATATGTCATGCAGTGCGGGTCGTTTGTCAAAGCCCTTGTTTGTTCAAAAAGATGCAAGATGGGAAAAGGAAGCAGAATAATCGGCTTGACTTGCAAGACAGCCATCAAGCCTAGCAACAACAAGTGTGCTCCTCATGCGTAGGTCCACACCCAAAGAAACCAAAAAGAGAAACATGCAGTCTCTCATCACTCGTCGCCGAGAACAAGACTGAGATCATGCTTGTTGAGGCAAAAAGAGAAGCCTTCCTTACCATAGTAGAACCCAGGAATTTTGCGCACTTCCATTGTCCTGTTCTCTCCAGTCATTTGACACATTGAAGATTGTCTGCAAATGAGAAAAATGGATGGTGAAGAAAGCAATCTCAAGGGATGCAAAACAGGGGACGCTCCCCAGCAGCAGCCCAAGGAGAGTTCATCGCACGTGAGAAGGAACCCAATTATATAATCATAAAAGTTGGCCTTGAGAAAGGCCTGGTATTCTATTATATAAAGTGATGCACTTGAGCAGGTGAATCTTAGTCCTAACAGTGTGAGGTCGGCATAACTTTGTGGTGTGCCATCAACTATCTGAATTCTAGGTATGGAAGAAGTTGCACGAATCCTTACTTGGGCTTCTGACATCTAACTCTCTACGCTTAATAAATAACTTCTGGCTAGTTAACTAACCGGGTAGCTAGAGGAATACCAAAATCCACTGTCCCTATGCACAAGTGCTATGAGCAATAGACACAAAACACGGTTTAGCAAACAAGATTGTTTCTTCTTCTGGTCTGATTGTGTGTAAAACATGCAGCTGACTAAAGATCAGAAATGTATAGTTACAAAAAAAGATCGTGATCAGGCGCAATTGAGAATATTCAAGATAAAAGCATCCCCAAACTGCATCAGTCCTCCAGAGTACCCGCCGGCTTAACATCAACCTCTCTCTTCAATCTATTTTCGCCGGCTAAGTAAGGCTTGCCAGCTGCCTCTCTAGCCATATCATTTATCCATCGACCATGCGGCTTGCAGGATTTGCCCTTGGTCATTTGACTTGCAAGATACAACCAAGACAAGGCATTACCGACCGTGGAAACCTCGTCGCTAACGCTTGTCAGTGCATACTCACTCATCCGATCATACAATTCATCGTCGGTCCAAAGATCGTAGAGATGTTGCGCCACGGCATCGGTATCTCCTACTTCAACGAGGAAACCATTTTTGCCGTGCTGGACCTGGAGCGGAATACCTCCAGCAAGAGTGGCGATAACCGGTTTGCCTTTATGCAATGCTTCGGAAACCTTGACTTCAAATCCTTCTCGTACAGACAGCTGCAAAGCGATCCTGGCTTTTGAAAGGATCGCATTGAGGATCTGATCGGAGGGAGGGATATGCATCACACAGATGAAAGGCTTGAGGTGGCGCATTTGACATTCGAGGTATTCAATGACGGCATCGTATATCACGGCCCCATCAGGGTCATCGACTGACCCGTGCCCACAGATGAGGAGCTTTGGGGGTGTCGTCTCCGATTTTATCTTGTCAAAAAATTTGGCATAGGATTGAATAACATCGAAGATTCCTTTCGAAGGGTCAAATCTCGCGACTTGGACGATGTACTCATCTGAAAAAAATGATTGTATGAGCAACCTGCGCCTTGGGGGAAAAAAAAGCTTATATAGCTATCAGTTATCATAACCTACCCTTCGGATAATCGATGGTTGTCATTCCGATCTCGCGACACTTTGCGTTGAAGACACGGCCGTAAAAGCCAACATCCCAATCTTCCATATTTTTGTTCAATCCGTCCAGCCTAGGAGAGACGTTAGCGTTTAAGTTCCGCGCATTCTGACACCATGACAGCCGCAGATGCCAACTCACCAATCTGTTGAAGCAGGCAGGTATCCCACCGATTCAGGGTTCACGGTTGATGGCACGAACGCACTGACGGGATGACTTATGAATAAATCGGCCTGTTTGATGCTCTCCCAGAAGTACGCCCAGGCTTCCGCCTGCGGCGTCGAGGGATCATCTACCAGGTCGCTTCGAATCTGAATGTGACTGCGATAGATGACTGGCCGGTTTGGAGTAGCCGCTTTAATCAGCGGTATCAAACCGGGCATTTGTGGATCGTCAATCACAATAATATCGGCACCTCCTTTCTCCGGGGGATCGAGCGGGCCACCTTTTCCAAACCAGTAACGTTTGGCATTCGTCGCGATCCAATCTGTGAGCTGCTTTTTGTTCTCCTCTGTGAGCCTTTCATCAAGCCTGGCTACGCCCTGAAGAATGTTGTGGTTTGTCTTTGTGATGCGGAATACCCCTGGTTTCGGTCGTGGAACATACCTATCAAGAGGTAGATCAATATCTGTTCCTCTCAATTTAAAGTATGTGTATATCCTTACCATTTAATGTCAGTCCCAAGAGCTTCGGAAAATCTCACAAGAGCGTGTCTCATGAGAGCGACGCCGCCGCCCTGAGGCGTACTACTAAAAAAAGCAACTTTGACATTTCGTTCCTTCATATCAGCCGCATACTTCTGCACAGCAGCCCAAGTCGTTTCGCGAACGGTCCTCTCATAGTCACGAACTGTAGCTAAAACAGCATGGAACCCTGCATCCACCTCAACAGTTCCTCGATAGCCGACCTGCAGCAAGGGTGCTTTGTTCGGGCCGAAGAATCTGGTACGCAATCAGCTCCCGATTTTATAGATCAAGGATAATTATGGGCCTGCCTCCACACAGAGTATTACTAACGTGATACATTTCCGAGCAATAGACTCAGCCTGTTCGTCCAGCATCTTCGAGTTCCACAATTCTGTATTGATCCAGCCAACACTATGCACGCCTTTCCCATGCAGCACCAAGGGAACAATATCCAGCTCGGCCCATAACCGCGGGCAAAGGCGAGGGCAATGAACAGCAAGGTTGATAGGAAGGGCGATGCCGATAAACTTCTCCAAATGCTCAATTTTATATTTCCGAACCTGATCAATGACGAAATCCGTTATCATTTCGGCGGCATTGCTAGTTTCGTCACGAGGGAAATGCTGCTCGGCAAAATCGAGGAAGTACGTCGTATCCCGAACCGCAAGGGCAATGCCGATGTCATCTTCAGCAGCAGATGCAGAAAGGCCGCCATAGATAGTCTGAGACAGTAAATATTAGGGATTGGTCGTCTCCAGAGCCAGGCTACGTTGGCCCCAACGGGCAAATAGAAGAACGACGGAAGGCTCAAGGGCTAGGTTGGCCATACCTCTGACGGTGGGCCACACCACGACTTCTTCTTGATATGCTCCAAAAGATTGTGCTTCTGATATATAGATGTGCGACGCTGAAACCGTTGTTCCTGTGTCTTCTGTGCCATGACAGCCACCACATATTCTTTCAGCCTTCCTTGTCCAACTGCGTCGACCGGAGACCTTTCGAAGGCATGGTTTCTTGACGTTGACGTCATTATCAAGGAGCTTTGCGTGTTAAGTCACAACCCGATATATCAGTATACTCAAATCTGAAAACAAATCAACAAAATGGTATCATTCAATCTCTTTTCTAGTAGTACCAACGCTCTCTCTCTCTCTCTCTCTGCGCTTTCAAGAGTAGTCCATAAAAATAGGAAACACGGTCATACGACCAGTGGACCATCGAATATAAGTTCTCTCCAAGGAAAACTCAAACAAGAAATTCAAAATTGAATTTCCTAGGGAAGAACAGGCTCTGGTGACCATCGAATGAAAAGGTTCCATAGTTGCCAAAAAAAAAAATGACACTTCATACGTTTGCCATTCGTTCCCTATTACCTGTAACTCTCCCACGCCCCCTTATCTTCGCTGATGGCCGGATTGAGTTCCCAAGCAATCCACGGCATGACGCTGACATCATTCAAACTATGGAGGCGTGGAAGATCCCAAGGCCGGCTAGGCCTTAGAGGAGATCGCTCGATTTGATTGGGGAGGCAGGGAGGCGAAAAAGACAAGCTTATACACGACGGTTCCTCCATTGTCTGCCTGGGTGCTGCCAACTTCTCGAGGTCGGGGAGGGTTGACATTGGCGCTGATTTGATGAAAGAATTGAGTCCGTCGTTAGTTTCCGCGTGACGAGTAAGTTATGTAACTAATACCTCTCTCAACACAATAGGAGAATACATACGCACCAGGCGATGTTACTGTAACTCCAGTACAGAATCTATACTGAGTGCATACATGGCTTGGGGGAGTGTGATTTGGAATCGTGTGCAAAAAAGGAAAATTGTCCTTAAAAAAGAAGAAGTTTATCTAGAGCTTATTATACAAACGAGTTCTCGACTAGCCATATAGAGAAAAGATACCGCCGAGAAGGAAACGCTCACCAAGGACAAAAATGACATTATAGATTATATAATTCAACGAGGTCAATCGGTGAAGGAACAAGGGGCAGAGTGATCTATCAAGGGGGGATTTATCGATTGGCCGCAAAGAACAAAAAAAAAGAAAAGAAAAGAAAAGAAACGATCAGCTTGAAAAATGCTGTCAGAAGAAAGGATGCTGCAGCGACGTCCTGTCCGGCCGTACCCAACCTACACACAAGCTGTAGCATCAAAATTAGCCACAAAACCATGATTGACTGTTGCAAAGGATATCCGTATGAAGGCCTATACAGGGGTACCCATGAAGAAGAGGAGAGTTACCCAAGCTCTCAAAAAATTTCAGCTTTGAACCAGAGTCAGCAGCGACGATGTCCAAGACACACGATGAGCAGAACAAGCCAAGTCAATGCAAAACCAGCAATGAATAATATATGCTGTCAAACTAGTATTTGAGGGGGTTTAATAACAACTGTACAAAATTCAAAAATAGCATCCCAACTTGTATTCAAAACACAATTGAGGAGAAAAACACTCTTTTTCTCGTAGACAAACTGGGCAACTTAAAAGGGTATTGTTTTCCTTCTCGCGTCCAAATACAACTGGGAACATTTTCAATCTTTTTCTATTTCTGGTGACTCTTGCCAAGGTAAGTTATATGGAGGGTGACAGCATCACTATTTTTTGGGCGCTTCATCGAATGTTGTTGTTGTTTTGGGGGGGTAAGGGGGGTATTAGGGTGCTTGTGACCAAGCTGTGACGATTAAGAAAATGTTGTATTGTTCCCCCTACCCAAAAGACCCGCACCGCGGTGGAAAAAAAAAAAAGAGAAGAAAATGGTTCTATTCCACTCCACAAATCTATTCCTCAACAAGGCCTTGCTATAAATCCCTCTTTTTTTTCCCCTTTACGCACTCTTCTCGTGTTGAGTAGAGACACGTTGTAATGAAACAACTGTGAAACGGGAACATGTTAGTCAGGGGTCTTAGACCACAACATTTTTCAGAGGGGTTGTACTCACCGAAATCTTCGAGAGAACGTTGCTTTTGAGACTTCTTGGGGCTCTTTCCGTGCATCATGTTGTCGAATCCAGTAGAACCCTGGAGGATATAGTACACACCACCCATCACGCAGAACACACCAAAGGAGAAAATCCAGATACGAACAACAGCGACGATGGAGGTCTGGCCACCAACGAACCAACCGAAGAGAGTGAAGAAGGTGGCGACAATATCGACAACCAAGATAGCACCAGCGAGCTGCCACGAGGGGATAGAAGACCAGAAGGGACCGTTGGCACGGGTGATGAAAATGAGCCAGTTCTCAGTGAGAGAGATTTCAAGGAAGAGAACCTCGTCACGGACACCGAAGTTCTGAACGATACCGCCGTCTTCAGTGCCAACCAACATAGTGGTGAGGGTAATCCAGGTTCCGACAGCAAGGACGATACCAAGGAGAACGGACATACCCCAGAGCTTGGGCAAGTTCCACTTGACAGGGGTCTTGGAGAAGGGAGCGTTGTCGTAAGCGATAGCCAAGGTAGCGATATCGGCAAAGATGGCGATGAAGACAACCAACTCCAAGTTAAGCGAAGTGTTCAAGATGGCAATCCAGAGACCCAAGAAGATCTCGAGATGGAGAGACAAGGCGATACGGTACACGACGTAAGCATACATACGGTGGAAAATCTGGCGAGAAGTCTTGAGGGCGTCGATGATGGCAGAGAGACCAGGAGCAAGGAAAACGATATCGGCAGCAGAACGAGCGGCGTCAGAGGCACCCTCCACAGCGATACCAGTATCAGCCTTCTTGAGAGATGGAGCATCGTTGACACCGTCACCAGTCATGGCAACCAAGTAGCCACGCTGTTGCAAGATTTCGACGACATTGTACTTGTGCTGGGGGAAGACTTCAGCGAAACCATCGGCAGCCTCAACGAAATCATAGATGTCAGATCCAGGCATGGTACCACCACCACCAAGACCGAGGCGCTCAGCGTTGTAGACATTGGTTCCAAGACCGAGTTGGCGGGAGGTTTCACGAGCAATACCGACAGCATCACCAGTCAACATCTTAATCGACAGACCAAGGGTCTTGGCTTCGTTGATAGTCTTGGCGGTATCGTGGCGAGGAGGATCAGAACAAGGCATGATACCAAGAATTTCCCAGGAACCTTCACCGCGCTTGCGAGCGACACCGAGAGAACGGAAACCACGGGTGGCGAACTCAGCGACCTTGTTCTTGTACGCGGCATCGATCTCCTCTGGAATTGGATGGTCTTCTTCGACAGTACGGAGGACGAAAAGTGGAGCACCCTTAACACAGGTGATGCGCTCACCCTGGGGAGATTCGACGATAGCGCTGACCTTCTTGGAGACAGGATCGAATGGGTGGAATTCAAGGACCTTGTACTGGGTAAGGACGGACTTGGCACGAGGATAGTACTTGAGCGACTTCAAGAAAGCCTTGTCGATGGCATCAATACCCTTCTTCTTACGAGATGCAGCCAAGCAGGCAGTCAACATGAGATCCTCTGGGTCAACACCAGCGACAGTGTAGGGCTCGGACAGGGAGAGCTTGTTCTTGGTCAAAGTACCGGTCTTGTCAGAGCAAAGGATTTCGACACCAGCAAGAGATTCGATGGCAGAGAGCTTTTGAACGATGGCCTTCTTCTTAGCGAGATAGGCAGCACCGACAGCCATGGTAGTGGTGACGACAGCTGGGAGACCGACGGGGACACCAATGATGGTGATGGCCAAGGTGAACTCGAGGATGGTGACGATTCCATTGGATCGGTAGAAGGACGAGACCCAGACAACCAAGAGAGTGACGATGACCAAGACGAGAAGAACAGTACCGATACCGTTAAGAACTTCAGTGAAGTGACCGGTACCAGCGGAGGCAGCGTTGACGAGAGCAGCAGCACGGCCGACGAAAGTGTTGTCACCTGTGGCAGTGATCACCATGAAGGCTTCGCCACGCTTGACAGCGGAGGAGGCATAACAGGTATCGCCCTTGTGCTTGTCGACGGCAAGCGACTCTCCAGTAATGGCAGACTGGTCAACTTGAAGGAAAGCGCCTTCAGTGACAATGCGACCGTCGGCGGGAATGATAGTACCCTACAACACGGAATTGTTTAACAATGGTCTCAGATTGGTGGTGGCTGTACCTGACAGGTGCTTACCTCTTCGACCTGAAGGATGTCACCTGGTACGACTTCGGGGGCTTCAATCTCAGATAGACGGCCATTGCGGAGGACAACGGCCTTGAGAGCAAGAGTTTTCTTCAATTCGTCGACAATGGAACCGGCCTGGAATTCTTGAATGAAACCAACGCAGGCGTTAAGCAAAAGGAGACCGCAGATGACACCGAAATCGACCCAGTCCTCGAGACCGGCAGCAAGGACGGCGGCAGCCTGTATTATTAAAATCAGCTACATATTTTCTCCAAAAAAGGGCAAAAAAAAAAAAAAAAATATTACCACTGGTCACATCTTGTCCTTGCCTTTCTCTCCCCCGGCCTACATGTAGGGCAGGAAACAAGAGGAAGAGGACGAAGAAACAAAGATGCAACCAAATAGCAATTCAACACAACGCAAGCCGGTAGAAATACCCACCTCCATGACGAACTGAATAGGACCGACGAAGTAGCTCAAGAACTTGAGAATCATATTCTCCTTCTCCTCCTTCATCTGATTGAGACCGAACTTCTTGCGACGCGTCGTAACCTCCTGGTCCGTGAGACCCATGCGAGTATCCGTCTGCAGCAACTCTTCCGGAACGGGACGAGCACCACCGGGCTCGCCGGTGTCCTCATCCTCTTCATAGATGTGACCATCCTGGGACTCGAGTTCCTCGATGAGCGCATCCATGTCCTCCTCCTCCTCATCATCGTCAGGGATGGGCTTCTTCTCGAAGTGCGCCTCGGAAGCAGGAGCGTGCGCTTTCTCATCGTGGCCCTCGAAGCCTCCACTTGGGACGGTGGTGCCAAGGTGGTTGGGGGGCACACCCTCGCCCTGGGGGCGGGTTGAGCCGGTCGGTTCTGCCATTGTGATCTGGCGGATTGTGAGAGCCTCTTTCAAAGGGATCCGCGGGCCGGGGGAAATCGGAAAAAGATCTGATTTAATCCAGTGGACTGGAGTTTGCTAACGCGGGAGAGAAGAAAATAAGGGTGGCCTGGTAGAAAATTATTGAATTGTTGAATCTGGGGGGTTAGTGAAGTTTTCTAAACCGGCGCGGACGATGGGGA